AGCTCAGGGAAAGTTGGTACTATCAATGAAAAACAATCTGCATGTTCAAGGTTGTCAGTGTCAAGAAATACAGTTATCAACTTGATTTGCGGGTGCAAACTGTGAACACCATCTGCTCCTGGCAATATTGTAACCAAAGGGTGAGAGGAGGCATCAGTCAAACTGATGCTACGGTAAAACCTAAATAACTAGTTGTCAACCCCGTGTCCTAGGGGCATCCCGATATCTCCTTGCACTTGCACATTGTGCTGGTATGCTTCTGGCTGTCACTTAGAAGAGGTCTATTGTAATGATGATTTCCATAGTTTTTGCAAACTAGCTGTACTAGGAACAGGCATGCAAAGACATTATAATTATAGGCAGATTAAGAACTCTTTCTCACTGCTATTTTTTTTTTTTTTTTAATATTCTGCACTGTTAATCTTTGTCATGGTTTAACCCCAGCTGGCAACTAAGCCCCACACAGGCACTCCCTCCCTCCCTCCCCTCGCCCTCATGGTGGCATGGGGGAGCGAATCAGCAGTGCAAAAGTGAGAAAACTTGTGGGTTGAGATAAATACAGTTTAATAGGCAAAGCAAAAGCCACACACACATACAAAGCAAAACAAGGAATTCATCGACCGGCAGGCAGGCGCAGCCATCTCCAGGATAGCCGGGCTCCATCACACGTAATGGTTACTTGGGAAGATAAACACCATCGCTCCATACGTCCCCCCTTCCTCCTTCTTTCCCCCAGCTTTATATGCTGAGCATGATGCCACATGGTCTGGGATATCCCTTTGGTCAGTTGGGGTCAGCTGTCCTGGCTGTGTCCCCTCCCAACTCCTTGTGCCCCCCAGCCTGCTCGCTGGTGGGGTGGGGTCAGGGGCAGAAAAGGCCTTGGCTCTGTGTAAGCACTGCTCAGCAGTAACAAAAACATCCCTGGGTTATCAACACTGTTTTCAGCACAGATCCAGAACATAGCCCTATACTAGCTATGGTGAAGAAAACTAACTATATCCCAGCCAAAACCAGCATGCTGTGTTTTAGAAATTAAATCAGTGAGCAAACTACAATGTTAACAGACACCTGTAGGAGGAAAAATTGGGACAGGTACAGAGTGCAAATTGATACCAGCTGAATGTCTTCTTGCCAATTACTTGGGGTTTTATGGGTAGATGATAGGTACAAGTGACACGGCAATGAGAAACCTGACCCGTATGCACACTGGAAGGTGTTGAGGCACTGAGAAGTTAAGCATTGGGTTATGTGGTAAAATCTCTTCTGCTTGCCTCCCCCCAAAGGCGGCAGAGACATCATGGTGGTGGTGTTGGCAGTGGTAGTGGGGAGGAACACTGGAATAATACCCTGCTCCACCTGTACCCAGGCCCCTCACAGGAGCCATCAGCCCATCCAAGGCCCATCTGCACCAGCCCAGGGGAGCAGAGAGGCCCAAGGGCAGGCAGGAACCCAAATTAGGGACTCAGAGGAAGGGACTTGCTGTCCAAGCCCCTCCTAGGGCTGTCCCAGGAGAACCTCAGTGCCATGGGTGAGGTGTAAAACCATCCAGATGAGTCAACAGCTCAGCTACAGGCCAGACTGAGTGTCTGCTCAGCTGCTGGAGGGATCCACATTGTATGTACCCATATCTAGATAGCTATGTTGACAGACACGTCTATATGCATAAATGTATATTTGTATCTATAGCTGCACATATCTTTGTACCGTATTGTCCCCATCAGGCTAGTGGATTTGGCAACTTGCTCACAGTAAGTACTGAGTAGCCGCATTGCCCCATTAGGACGAACTGTAAACAAATAAATGATCTTCCAGATTAAATAACAAGAGCCCCTAACAGGGCTGCAGATGTGCTCGAGCCTCTTGTAGGACAGGGTACCTAAGTCAGGAGTTCAAGGCAGTAAGAAACGAGGTTTGTGACAGGAATCCTGGGTGACTGGATGAGTTGGTGCCACTGAGAAGAGAAGCTGATTGACTCTTACTGTTGGTTTGGCATCGCATCCAGCCTGTGCCCATTGAGCACTGACACGTATTGGTGCGTTCAGGGCTTCACAGAATGTGCTTCTTGCGTGGTCTTTCCCTTTTCTGTGGCTGTGATGCTCCAGAGCAGCTGGAGTGGTATAAACCATAGAAATTGGATTCACTGCTGTTGTGAAACCTCATGATGCAATTCCAGTATATAAGCTGTAACTGCTCAGCTTTGAGGCTTTCTCTGGTGATGGCGACTCAGAAAGGAAAGGGTGTTTTGCCCTGTGTATCTGGAATGGCCAATTTCTCCAACAGTATAATATGACCTTTCAGGACGGAATCAAGACCATTAATCTCTTTCTTCTTGCATGTAAGACATCAGGCACGTGAAAGAAATTGCTTCATTTGGAAAGATGAGAACACAGGAACTATAATATGATTAAAATTATATAACACTCTGAAAAGCAGAGAATGGCTGGAGCCAAAAGGATTGGAGAGAAGTGACTGGTGCCTGTGTGTTGCATTACAAAAGGAGAATGCTGAAAGGAAAAGATGCTGCCAATGCACAGGTAGACTGGCATACCATAAACAAGTAGCTGGATGTTATTTCCCAAAGTATGGAAAATGAAGCTGCGCCTCATCTGGAAGAGGACTGCCTGACACTGTGCTCTGGAGCTGCAGGTGTGATGGATGTGGTGGAAACTGAAACTTGGGAGAAAGAGCTCCCGGCATAGGCATAGGTGAAGAGATGTTGTTTGGTAGTGGGAAGCATCTCCGCATATGCTGCGTTTGCTTGTTCAAAGTCTCCTACATTTCAGCCTTGCTTAAGAAAGGCATTCTTTGTCTGACGCAGAGTCAAAACCCCCTCGTTCTGGAGTGCAAAGGAAAGTGGGAACGGGGTGCGGGAACAAGCTAAAATTCCATTGTTCTCATGCAATTTGCCTGTATCTCTTGTATTGTATGAACAAAATGAAAAAAACCCCAAACCTCAACATGCACCTGCTATGTGCTGCTAGTACATGACCAAGTGATAAGACAATGGTCCAAACACTTAGACAGTGTACCAGTTTCAGCCAGGATAGAGTTAATTTTCTTCCTAGTAGATGGTATAGTGTTGTGTTCTGGATTTAGTATGATAATAATGTTGGTAACAAACAGCAACAACTAAAAGCATCAGTGTAAGTAGTGTTTGTAGTGAGTCAAGGATTTTTCAGCTTCTCAGGCCCTGTCAGCAAGAAGGCTAGGGGGGGAGCATAAGAAGTTGTGAGGGGACACAGCCAGGACAACTGACCCAAACTGGCCAAAGGAATATTGCGTACCATCTGATGTCATGCCCAGTATATAAACTGGGGGGAGTTGGCCAGGAGGGGTGGATCACTGCTCAGGGACTTGCTGAGCATCAGTTCAGCAGGTGGTGAGGAATTGCATTGTGCATCACTTGTCTTCCTTAGGTTTTATTTCACTAAAAAATTGGGGTAAAGGGGGGGATGAAAACAGGACAAAGTTGCTTGGTATGCTTGTAGGACACCAGATTTATATTCCCTCTGCAAAGCATCAGTGAAGCAGTTAGAGCTGCAGAGGTCAGCAATAAATTTTAAGCAGATACGTGGATATTTCAGAAGAAAAGACTCACTGCATGGACATATTAGTGCTATGTCAGCACTACTCAAATAGCCTTCAATTGATCTTTCAAGCCCCTATTCTGCCACTGAACGACAATGAAAAACTAATCAGTATTTGTGGCCACAATTCAACACATTTTGAAGAGGGCAAAACCTGGACAACTTACACTGTTTGTTCTTGAGGAAAAAGCAAATGGCACAATAAGATTTTCTGAAACAGAATTGTATATTCTGTACAACTGATTTTAAATATCTAGACCTCCTCTTGCAGCTGCAGCCCTGAAAGGGTTTCTAACATACCTTAGCAAAGAGATTAAAAAACACACTTGCTTTCTCTTTGGAAAGAGATCAGGAAGTTAAAAAACCCTGAATTTGATTGTTATGGTGTAAGCCAGAGAAAGCCTTGCTAAAGTCGAGGTAAGCAGCATGCCCTGCTCTCCCTCTATCCACTGAATTATTCAGATAATCGTAGGTGGCAGCGGGATTGACATGGCATGATTTCCACCTTTGCACACCCATGCTAATTCTTCCCCTTTCACTTTCTTGTCCCCAACATCCAGGAGAACACGCTCTCCCCCAGGCAGCGAGATGAGGCTGACTGGCCTGTAGTTCCCGAGAACCTGTGTCTTTCTCTTCTTGAGGACAGGATGGACATACCCTGTCATCCAGGACTCAGGAGCCTCCCCCAACTGCCATGGCCTCTCCGAGATCATCAGGTGTGTCCCCACAGTGACACTGGAGATGGACTTTGAAGTGGAGGAATTGACTGGACTTCTTGTCTTGTAACTGCTGTCAACTCCTGTTATGCCAGATGCCAATGCTGAATTTTTGTTCTGCTGCTCCACCAGCCAAGAACTTTCCCTCTCACTGACAGCTGGCAGCACAGAACATCTTAGGAATAGACTTGAAAACAGGTAATCTCCAAGTTTATCACAATGACAAAACAAAGTGAAGGTCAAGACATTCTGCAATTGCTTTCTCTGTGGAGAGATGCTAGAAAATACCAAAAGCTGAACTTCTCTTTGACCACTCTGATGCAGGACAGAGAAATTCTTAACACCTTTCCCTTTGCGGGCGACAAATTGGTCAGCTTCCCATGGGATCAAAACCTGTGGGGTTTGCCAGTGTGTCGTGGCTACCAGAAGCTCACCCACTACCTCTGCCCAGACCACAGGACAGATTGCTCTAAAATACAGGAAGAGTCTGGGAACTGATTATTATCACTACATCAACTCTAGTCCATGGTCCTAACACAGTTGTGCTTCAAGCCTCCCTGGAGGACACAGATGCATGCTGGCCATTTGCCTGGCATCCAGGACAGGCTGTAGGTGCAACTGTGAGCAAAGCTGAAGTGAGCAGAGGAGAGCTCTGGAGAGTTATATGGGCGGGGGAAACAATAAAACAAAGACTAGATTGTACTAGATTACAAAGTTTATTAAATATCAAGTTGAAATGGAAGATCTGGAATACAGTGTATTAGCTTCACAAAAATGTATTCCTATAGAAAGGAAGTGTCACAGCAGCATTCATTGCTTTCCTCACTGTCTGTTAACTCAAGTCCTTGAATTTGTGGGTAAAACCCCCAAATTTTTCAAAGTCTTAATTCATCTCAGTACAACCATTCTTTTCCAGAACTGGGACTTTGTTCTATAATCTTCTGATCACTAGTGACTTTTGCAGACCATAAATTACAACTGCACATCTTCAGTAACAACAGGTAACCCTGAAATAAGTAAAACTGCTTGTTTTATTGACACAAATGTGTCATACAACACTGGCAAACATCCAGGCTACAGCCACCATATCATCAGCTGCCAGCAGCAACTAAAAGATTGGCTATCCTATCACACAAGTTTTGGAAGGTACTGAGGAGACTGAAAGTCGATATATTAACATTCCTTCCTCCCCCACCCCCCCATATTAAGTGTTTCAGGTGCATTACAGGTGTTGATGTAGGAACTGCAAATGCCTAAAGCTGCAGCAATTTTTAATAGAAAAAATCAACATGAAATCCATGATAGGCAATGGGTACAAACTGAAACGCAGAAGGTTCCGTCTGAACATCAAGAAACACATTTTTCCTGTGAGGGTGGCTGAGTACTGGCACAGGTTTCCCATGGAGGCTGTGGAGTCTCCATCCTTGGAGGTACTGAAAAGCCAACATAGTCCTGGGCAACCACCTCTAGGTGGTCCAGCTTGGGCAGGGAGGTTGGACCAGATGACGTCCAGAAGTCTCTTCCAACTTCACCCATTCTGTGGTTCTGTGATACAAAACAATCATACCCAAAAGACCACATAACAACTTTCTTGGCACTACTATACACTCACAGTAATTTTAAACCTAAGGCGCATAAAGTGACAGCAATGTAAAGTGCCCTATTCTCCAGCTTGAACACTGGTAAAACTTTCACTTTATCAGCAAAAATATTCACTGCATCAGGACTGAAGCAGCAGGCCCAAAGCACATCAAAATGTCCGAAGCATTAAAATAACACTGGAAACATTAAAAACAGAGTGAAAGGATTACACAGACCAAAGGGAACGCTTTTGTTGAAACACAGAATGAGTGGAGCAAAATAATGCATCTACTTCACTGAGAAGCATTTGGACAGTTCTGTCAAGCTCAAGAATCAAGATTAGTCAATCTGCTAGTCAGAAAAAATAGATATGGTTCTTACTGTGAGTACAAAATAAAAGAACTATGCATCAATAGACCAATAGGTAAGTGCAATGTGCTTGACATTCATTGAAGAGATTTGGAATTTATATTCAGACTGCAATAAACACATTTTCACATCTGAACTGTGGATGGGAAACCACAGATGCACTATGTAAACAAAATTATTTCCAGAGCCTCTCCCTAGCATTTTGTTCAAATCAGATAATTTTTGGTTAAAACATCACGGTACTCCTGTATTGCCCTGCAAAGGGGATCCTGGTCAACATGTAAATTTTTTGGAGATCCATCAGTAGATACCATGGGAGAAGCTCCAGCAGATCCAGTTTCAAGTTCAGCGGTGGCTAGGGAAAAAAGACACAAGATTCCTGGTGTTACTTTTACAGCAGACAGGGCCAAATAAATCCCTGTAAAAACATTATGGGTAACTGGAGAGACTACAGTCCAGAAAAAGATTTAAAAACTTCCAAGAGAACATAACAATGAAAGGGCTAGGCACAAAGGAAGAAACACATTTTTTCCACATTTGCTTATCAGTCAACAGTATTTCTAAAGCTAGTGAAAGAAATTCCAGAGGAGAGGCTACACTGAACATCTTCAGACAATCCACAAACAACTCCTGTTTACACCAGCACTAAACTTAGCCACCTGCAGACCTCTTCAACCCATCTCAAGTATCCGTTTTCCTTAAAACATTCAAACCAGTGATTTAATGGAACACTACTCCTAAAAAACAGCTTCTGCATTTGCTGTGATAAACTTTACAAGAATCTTCATGTAAAAAAGCAAACACCTTTGCACTGCAGTCAGGCCAGGACAAGTCTCCCAGACTGGCACATTCTCTCACCCTGGCAAAACCCTCTTACCTCCATGAAAACACATATTCAATGAAAGCAAACCCACCTTTGCCATCTTTCTCCAAACACCCTTTTTCAGACAAGGTTCCTAAACCAAACATACTCTATGATTCCTAGCAGATGCGTAATTATGTTCAAAATGCACATGGATGCAAGGCAATGGCTTTGTGTCCATTCAGACACGTGGAAAGAGATATGAAGCTACAGGTGAACACTCTATATGACTAAAAGCATACAGGAATGGAAGGAGATGCTCTCAGGGGCTACGTGCTTTAAAATAGCACCAGTCGCTGCAAAGCAGTGACAATGGATGACCAATTACCATGAAATAGGTGGAATTCCTCTTTGGACACCTGGCCTCATATTCTAGAACATGTTTTAAACTATGTATTACAAGCATTCGACTCATCTTATGTTTGCCTAAACACTACTAAATGATCTTTTCCTAAAGAAAGGAACTTTTGTCACTGATCATATTCTTCCTCCTTATTCAAAAAAGACTGCAACATATAAGCTACAGCTACAAGCAATGAATATGAGACAGTAAAAATCAAGAACTAACAGCAGAGAATGTGTATGGTATGGTTTAGTCCTGAATGCAATCGATGTACATGGAAGGAAGGAGAAGCGATGGCTGAAGTCTATGAAAATCTTATCTCAGGGCTTCTTTTATGTTTGATGTTTGTGCTTGAGGATTAACTCCAGTGAGAGGTGACTTCAGCTTAAGCCAAGTGTATCTGTGTGGGGGAAATGGGTTACTTTTCTTTGCACTCGATTTTCTTTCAGGCAACTGCATAACATGCTACACAGTGTTTTGGTAAGCAGGGAGTTTTCACATTCAAGTCTAAACTGGAAAGCTAGCAGAAAAAAAACCACCCTGTGCTTAACACAGGGCCTTAACGGCTTTCAAGCAATTATTTTCAAGGGTTAGGAACATTCATCTTTTTCCTTAAATACACTTCTAACATAATGACACATTACCTTGTTCAAGTTCTTTAGTGATTTTTTCATCCAGTTCCCGCCGTACCTAGAAGTATACAGAAAATACACAGTTAATATTTTAAGGTTGTTTTTTTGTAATATTAAACTTCTAAAACATTCTTAAATCCCACAGATAGCACGTGATAAGAACTAAAAACATCATCCCAAATAGAGACATCTTGGTTTGGGATTTGCTTTTTAATGAAGAGAAAGTCCTCGTCAGCCAGGCCGTAGCATTCTTACTGCTGACCAACATTAACTATAGCACAAACCGACCTGTAACTTACCAGCTAGATTATAACTGGGCGTTTAAAAAATACACAGAAAGAAAGCACAGTACAGTTATTGCAATGAAGGCATGGGTGAAGTCTGTCATCAAATACATGAGGAGCAGAATGTCAGCTAAATGCTGGGATATGCACAAATGTCATCCATAGGGACAAGTTCAGTTGAGGCTGGCTTCTGCAACTTCATAAGAGAAGAGGTACAGAAGTAGCTGCTGCAGGACAGACATATACCATTGTATAGAAAAAAGCACGTGCCAATATTCTTCTTTTGTCCACCTTAAGATGGAAAATTTAAAGAGCTCCGACAGATCATGGCAAGATTTTTCTTTATTGTTATTGCAAATACCATGACATGCATATATAAAAATACAAAAGCACACACACTATTTTCTTGCAAACTTTGTACTAAGAAAAGATAGCAACAGCTACAGCTTCTACACAGCAAGTGCTGTAGGTTTTATTATGTAACCAAAATCAGCTTAGGTCACTAGAAAGGAGCACTTACTCCTTTCTCCCCTAGAAGGTGCTTATGGCTACCAATTAAGTTATTCTCACTTGTGATTCTGACTTCAAAGTCTTCATAAGAGTAAATGAGATCTTTGGAAGTGCCATAGTCCAAGCACTATATGCTGCTGTTTACAACTGACAATACTGACTCCTATGTTTTTTCCATCGGGTCTATGACACACAGAAGTGAATTTCAAAATAGATACCACACAGCCTCCACACCTATGATGGCCACGATGATGCTGAAGGGCTTGGACCACATGAGCTATGTGGAGAGGCTGAATGCTCTGCGACTGTTTCTTTACTTGGGTAGAGAAAGCTCAGGGACACCTTATCTAGATGTATAAATACCTGGTGGGGGCTGTAAAGAAGGAGCCAGAATTTTATCAGTGGAGCGAAGGAAAAGAATAAGAAGGATAGGCACAAATCAAAATAGAGGAAATTTCATTTTATCATAAAGATTTTTTTTTTTTAATTGTAAGCTTGGTCAAACACTGGAACAAGTTGCCCAGAAAAGGTCGTGGAGTGTCCATCCTTGGAGATGTACAAAACCTGGCTGGACATAACCCTGAACAAACTACTATGGCTGGCCCTGCTTTGAGCAGGGGCGGGGTTGGACTAGATTATCTTCAGAGGCCCCTTTCATCCTCACCCTTCTGTGATTCTCTGATTTTAGTACTGAAGCCCTGGAAGAATAAGCATTTACTTTATGAAATGAGCAGGCTCACCCAGCAACATACCAACAACAAAAAAAAACAAACCTGAAACACTGCATAATGTACTGAACAGCTCGTAGACAGCCAAAGCCTTAGGAAGGGAAGCACTCCACATAACCTCACAAGCAGTAACTCCAAAGGCCAAAGAAGTGGGTCTGTAAACTAGCAAAGTAGAGGGAAAGGCCCTCTCTCCAGGACTACAAGGATAGCTGTGACCAAATTCACCAGCTCTTCCAGGAGAACCACCACTCAGTGGTACTTCGTTGCTATAGTCTGTGCCTTCACAGCTAGAAGAGGGGAGCAGACAACTGAAAGAACAACAGAAAAGGACACTCCAAATCTCCAGACCCCTAATTGTTTTCAAGCAGGTTCAAGCAGCAGCAAAATCCTGGGGAGAAGGGACCCCCTAGCACATGAAATGAGACATAGGTAACAAAAGAAACCAGGAAAACTAATGCCTAGACCAAAAGATGACCCCAAACCAAGACCAACCCTAAGCAAAGCAGTAGTAGTTGAGGTGTTAGACAAAACCACTTTCCCTGACTTCTAGAGCCTTCACAATGACCAGAAGGTCCACGGGACCCTCTGCAACATGTGTGAATGAATCAAGAGAAGAAAAAGTTCTTGTTTTCCTCTTCGTCATTCCATTAACATCTTAGTGATTCTCATCCACACCTGAGGAAAGAGAAATAGGTGGAAATAAAGCCAACACACTGATTTCTGAAAAGTGAATGAAGAGCCAGGCAAAATACACCTTTGAAGACTATAACTTGCCTCCACTGTTTTCCTTCCTCCCAGCCACCTGGAAAAGGCATCGCAGCTGACTGTACCAAACCTTCTGAGCAGGTACTTCTCATCTCACTGCACATCTCTTCAGGCAGTAACATACTGGGTTCCCTTGCAGCTGTCACCTTCATAATAATTCTTTTTCAGAAAGTGGTGTTGACTTACTACTTACCCACATGGGTTGCCTGAGCACAGTAAGTTGGATCCTGTAAGACTCCATGAGATGATACACAGAGTCTAGGAACTCAACTTCAGAACAGGACTGGTAGTCCAGACACAGCCACTGTTATTACCAAGAACCTTTTGAATAATCGTAACTAGCAAGGAGGGTAAACCAGCCTACGCCTGTAGTTTAAAGAAGTTCCATTATAGCAGATGAAATCCATACACTGTCATCTTACGGATGGTCGGCCACCACAGAAGCCATAATATTACAAATACATAAAGCATTAAAGTATTCTGCAGCAGTCATTCTTTCACTTGGACAAACTAACAAGTTCAAAATATCTGCAGTATTAAGAAAATGTGAATGCATCAGTAAGTTTTAATCAAACCTAACAGCATAGATAGACAAAACATTTCCAGTATAAAATACCACCCAAAACATTAAGCGATACTAGCTACAAACCTTGTCATGTATCTGGCTGCAGAGAAGAGAGAGAAGAACAAAGTTTTGATTAAGAAGCTGAAGAAGAAAGAAAAACGGCCTTAAGGTCAAAGGTCTTCAGTTAAAAATAAGAACAAGGCCTACATGTAAGTGAAACAAGTAAAAAAAGCTAACAATACAAAGACTGATATAATACAAAGAGCAGATGGAAAACAAAATCAGAAAAGGACCAGAAATTAAGAGACAGAGTAGGAAGCAGACGTTCCCTTTCTCACGTTATGTAGGAAAATGGTTTCATAAATCCACTAATTCACACTGGTTGCAGCTAGCAGAGTTCACTATTATTTTCTGTGTCAAGACATCCAGATTCATTTTCACCAGCCTTTGGCACAGCTGTTAGGAGTTAAACTTGACATTTGTTAAAACTAACAACAGGACTCCAGTCTCAAAATCTCCTCGCAGCACTTGCAGCAGATAGTCTGTGGACTAAGGCAAGAAATAAGGCAGCAATTCCCAAATTATGGTAGAGACACCACTAACAGTTCCTAATGTTTGTGTTTCATCTGCTTGATTCAATTTAGTTCTGGATGGTGACATGCCAATTCATGAGCAGGTTGGGAGTCAGTAGACCAGATCATAAAAAGACAAAAAAGTCTCCATCAAAGATCTCTTTACTCCTGTAAAGGAGAGGCAATACACATGTACACCCTTCGTATAACACAAGTCCTACTATGAAACAAATTTCATCCAACCTCCTTCCAGAACATAATGAACTGCTAGTAGCCACAGTCACCGTTTGTAATTACATGCACAGAATTTTTCAAGTACTTGTAATTTATTCCTCATTACAGGAGCTCTGATAAAAACAACCAAAAAACCCCAACGACATTTGCATGCGATTGGGAATTTACCAGTTAATGACTTTGTGTCGATGTGAACTTTTTTGTGCTTTTCAAAATATTTTTGCACTTTCATTTCGAGGTTATTAACTTCTGTAGCATATATGTTTGATAAGGGGGAAAGGGCTGTACTGTAATGGACACATTTCTTTGTGGGTTGTTGTTTTTTTTAAGACTAAACTGCTGATTTTTTGCTGAGCTTGCAACATGACTATCTTCCAAACGTAAGGCTATATGCATAATCACTGACATTCACCTCTCATGTTAAGTAGCGGTTTAGGAAAACTGAAATCTTTCAAGCCTTTAAACTCCAAACTCCTCAGTTATGTTTAAAAGAAGCAACCGTGTCCACTTGCCAGAGGAACGCTTCCTTTTGTTTGCAGTCAGCATAATTTACTAATGTTTTCATAATTTACCAATGTTTTTTCCAACAGTTGCATGGACAAAGAATTAATACCAGCATTTTGAGTAATAGCAGTGTGAAGTTATTTTCACTTCCTTGACCCTGAAGCTACTCCAAAACATCTGCACAAACCAAATTTACATAATTAACATGTTAAGACATTAAGAATGGCATGTCCTCTACTTCAAATAGCCTTTCGCACCTTGAGGAAGCTACTGTGAAAGACACCAAATCTGCACAAAGAGCTTTAACTAAAAAAAGAACCTCAAGAGGACTACCTGAGGCACACTGCAATTTAAGTTCCTTAACTCCCTGTCATTATGAGCTTTAGTGGCAGAAGCATTTGTAATCTCCAGCCAAGAAGGCACTGCTCAGCTTGAATTTAAAGGCAAGACAACTTCTGTAGAAAGGAATCAGATTACCGGAAAAAAAAAATCTGAGGCATAATTGAAGCAAACAGTGAAGTGAAGAAAAGGCTGAGAGTCAGAGAAACTTTTCTGTCTTTAAATAATCTGGTGAACAGGCAGAGTACTAAGAAGGACAAGCAGCAAAGCACTTCAAAATAGACTAGAACTGTCATCTCTGAATTCTTTCCTCATGCTCCAACTTGTCTCCAGAGTGGCACAGGACTCCTGCAGAAATGACAGCACAGACTGTGCATCTGGTAATTTTGCATTTGGAAATTGATTGAGACTCACCACCTATTATTATATGCGTTATTGTATGCATTTTTTTCCTTATGTTACTTCCTGACTTAAAGCCTTATTTTCCAATTCAATCCTATTTTTTCAGATGTACATGTCAGGAATCCTGTACTTTCAGTTCCTCAGAGATATGGTATGGCTTCAAACACTGTTAAAGATATACTCTATCCAGCTGAGGAAATTTAAACCAGGAGTTCTAAGTGAAATACTCACTTAGATGCATGTCCTCTAGCAACTACTGCACCTCTGAGAACCCTCTTTCTTTTTACTGAAGGACTATGAAAGAGATCGAGTTTTAAGACTTCCCTGAATACAATGAACACTGAGTGACTTGCAGCTACAGACAGTGCCATTACAATTAATCTCAGTTGTTCCCTATGTGGTGATTACAGAAAGAAGTATCACAGAAGGATGTGCAGCTGGACTCAGCAACAGGGAGAATAAATTCACGCCGGTAATTCTGAGTTGCAGACACCAGCCTTCTGCTTTGATTGAGGGAAAACAGGCATGCTGAGATTCCCAGCTTTTTCTTAAGGGAACCTGGTAGAAATGGTATGAAATAGGTAAATTGTCTGAGGATTCAGAAATAGTTTTACTCACCTTCATTCAAGGAAGAAAACTTGAGAATTTAATACTATATTAGAATTAAAAGCTAATCCCAAGACGACAAACTGTGTAGAGTAAGACTGAATTATCCTCAGCTCCTCTGTTGACAACAAACTAAAAGTCTCTGTAGGTTGTAAACAAGGTCAGAGAGAACTTCAGGGGACTAAGTCCTACAAACGAAACTGCACTAGGAAGGAGAAATCTAGGTATATAAGAAAGCTCCCAAGCTATAAAACCTCACTTGACATCAGTAATTGGAGACTGGGGAAATATCATACACAATTGTTCTTCAACTTCCTTGGGAGTCTGCTCAAGGCTGATGGGTATTTTTTGGTTCTATTTTTTCAAATCTTCAAAGTGAAGCCCCAAAACCCAGTACCCAAACCTAAAAGCGTTCCCCAGCACAGCAATCTATCACAAAATGCAAAACACACATGCTCTGAAAAGAAACTTTATGGGTGCTGTTGAAGTTGGGGCACTGAGTGAGAACAGCAACATCATTCTCAGATCTAATGCACACTTTTACTGGAATCAGCTCAGATGTTTTCCACAAAAAGTTGAAGAAGCCTATATAACAATTTGAAATCTATATATATGAATATATTAGCAACTGGATAAAAACAATGAACTATGAAATAGCCTTTTTAAATATTTAATTTCTGTAATAGACTTAAGGGAACATAGCAAACCAGTAAATGTATCTATTTTGATATTGACAAAACTTTGAGATGCTCAAAGAGTTCCAATTTCTTATGGAAAATTAAAATGAAAAGGATTACCTGAAGAATGCTGCTGTAATTCAATTAAGAAGCACTGTATACTCCCACTGTCTTTTTTCCTGTTTCTTCTTCAAAAATAGCACAACTGTTAACCCTTTTCTTTTAAACTAGGGCAGCCTTTTTCCTGGAAGTGGTTTGTTTTCCTCCTTTGCCTTTTTTCTTCTTTTTATATCTTGCTTCCATCTCTCTGTCCTTCCTTTTCCCCACTTGTTCCCTGCTACCTACCTCTCTTGTCCCCTTGTCCTGGACTTCTTATTTCACTTTTACAGTGGGTCCCTGAATTTTCCCTCCTTCCTACTGCTTGCATGCAGAATAGGCAATTAATACTGCAGATGATACAGTATTAATTGCTTCCCGAGTTCTTTCTGTAATGTATGTCCACCCCTCTGACCTGAAAAACACATTCACAGTGATACAGTGAAATTAATCTCTGTAACTGCTGCTGCCACACATTACCTACACTGCTTTGTCCATTTTTGGTGTTGTTTTATTGTTTTGTTTGTTTGGGGTTTTTTTTGGTTGGTTGTTGTTGTTTTTTTTTGGTTTTTTTTTGTTTTTTTTTTTCTTCAATCAGGTGTAGTATGTAGACATATTGTTAAAATGGTTTCTTTCCAATGTGGGTAGGACCACTGAACTGAGAGGGACTTAAAAGTGAACAAATACTCCTCACATTTGTTCAACAACAGAGTGAGGGATAGAACACTGACCGAATAGAGAAGCTCATCAATGCCCAGTCCCACGCTAGGTAGGAAACTGATCACAGTTATTGACATCTGGTTTCCAAATCTGATGATATACTGTTATAATGTTCACTGTTCTGCGAGGGATGTGCTATCACACTGACTGCTAATTACAGGGCATACTTTGACCAGAGGTATTGCAGAGATTGCAGTACTGCTGAAAAATTAGAAAGCTGTGAAGACTTTGAGTAGTTAACCTTACCTTTTCACATAATAACACACAGCAGGAAATACAAAGACAAATGCCTCCTATGCATTGTGTATGTCCCGCACTGAAGGATAAAGTGAGAATTTACATGATCCCGCTCATATCATCCTATTTTTGAAGCATCCCTTTGTTTCTATTAATGTACTAAAACAAGTTCCAGTGAAGAAACTGCTAGAATGAAGATCAGTGAAGAAGGAAAAGGTGTCTCAAACAAAGACATCTGATGGAATTTTTTGCACTCATTGTAAAGTTAGCCATTTTAAATAGGTAATACATACTATACATTAAAATTTAATGAAGATCTTAGCTGGGAACAGTACTCTATCATAGTTTCTCTTGTAAAAGAATGTTGTTACATAGTTCATTATTTACATGTCAGTATTTTTTGGTCTTTGAGCACTCTTGAAAATTTGTACAACCCTGATGACCAACAGTTGTCACCCCTACCACACACAGTTTTGTACTGTTTTGATGATTAGTAATTGTTTTGACGTATCAGACCATATGGTTTGGAACTATAAATGGATTCTAACTTTAGGCCAAGAAGCATAACCTTGCTTATGGATACTCTTTAGCAGTAGTCGAGAACGGTATTTCAAAATGCTTACCTTGGCTACATAGGCTTCAACCCTGTTTCTTGATGATAATGCGTTGCCGGTTGGGCTTAGGAAGCTTCCTCCTAGACTTAGACTTCTGTTCAGTGCCAAACTGTTGCCAAGATGTCCCAGTTCAGTTGAATACAGAACTGGACTTGCAGCCAGACCTCCACTGACAATGCTGCTCGTGATTAAAGATTTGCTTCTATGGCGCTCCTGAAGGAGCTTAGCATTGGCTTCTGCTAGTCTCTCATTAGCTCTGAAACATTCAGAAGCATACAAAGAATTATCTTTGGTAGTAACACTTTTGCAAAGTTACCCTCCAGGTCTTTGACTATTATTTGACTTCTGAAAGTAGAAGGGACTAAGAGCATCCAAAGCAAGAACATAATTTGAACCCGTGTTTTTTGGAGAGCCTATTTCTAAGAAGTCACACTACCTGCAAGGAGCAGCAAGGGTTATCAGCACTTAGGACTTCTCAGCATTAGGGCTTCAAAGCAATCTGTGAATGCCATGTGTTTACATGGCTTCTTCTGAGAGCTATGTTACCTGCATAAGAACTCTGCGCTACCCTCCCTTTCCCAAGGAAAGCTCAAGCTTCAGACAAGTTGTTAAAATGCAAGGCAGAAGGAATTTTTTTTTTTTTTTTTTTTTGCTTCACTGAATTAAATTCTGTTCCCTGAAGGGCCTACTGTTATTCAAGCTGTAAGAGGAGGAGATTGGCAAAAAGGCTGCCTGTTAAAACACAATCAATGCAAAAAATACCCAATGCATGCTATGATCAGTGGTGTTACTGCTGGAACACTAAAGAGAAATGAAGACAGTTCTAATGAAGGGGAAGGGTCTTCAGGTACTTTCCTCACAAATATGCCATTTTATGCTTGCATACATAATGCTGACCAGATGTAGAGGAGAGATTTTAGGAGGAAAATGCATGAGAAAAAAGTAGTATCTTATTACCACTCCAAAAAAGCGTGGACTTACCTTTCCAGTTTATTTGCTAGGCCTCTTCTGATTTTTACTTCCTCCAGATATAGCTCTTTGTACCTTTCCACTTCTGCCTGCGTGGATTCTTTTTGAAAAATACTGTCTTGTTGGGTATTTTTTATCCTGTCCAATTCACATTCGAGATCTTTAATTCTGTGTTTCAGCTGGCTTCTCAGTGAAGCATGGTGACTGGCTCTGATTTGTTCTAATCTGTCCTGGGAGGCTGCCTGCGTCTGAAGCAGATAGTGCACTTTCAACCACCGCAAAGAAAAAGAAAACTCTCTTGGCCAGTCAGTTGCATGTACTAATTTCAAGGGCCTAGCTTTAATCAGTGAGGCAACTGTGCCTCCTCACTACCATCAGCAATCAAGGCAGAACCCTGGAACCACCATGTTAAAGAATTCTTTTTATTCAAAAAGCACCCTCCTCTTAGCACTATTATTCACCAAAGCTACAGATACAAGTGAGAAATTCATTTACCTGCAAAAACAGATTCACTTCTTGTAGTTTTTGTCTTATTTCTTGGCCAGCTCGTTCTTCCATCTCTCTTTTATATTGTTCTATTTGGCTGTGATCCACCATGTTAGTCTCCAAACGATATTTGAGGTTAGCCACCTCTTCTTTCAGTTGGCATTTACTCTTCTCTAGTTTTTCATGGTTCCCACGCATGGTGGACAACTCTTCTCGCAAATCTTGATTTTGTTCTTCTAGCTGCATGCATTTTTTTGACTCTATCTCCAGCTGCTGGGAAAGTTCACCAACCTGTAGGCAGAAAAAAAAAACCAAACCAGGAATCGAGAGGGATCTAAAATTAGTCAATTCTGTGGAAATCAGTAAGGGGATTGGCCACTGAGACTGTATTTGTCATCTGCTGTTTCGGTATTAAAACCAAAGTGAAACCAGGTTCTTCTTTTAAAACAAGAAGAGCTTTGACATAATTTTTGATAGAATTCCTCAGGTTCCCATCCTTTCTCAGTTCTTCTGCAGTAAGTCACAGACCAAGAGGTACCAAACTAGCAGCACGTCACCCACAGAGCTAGACTGAAAAGTACTAGGGCTATTCCTCCGTGAGATGCTCACATGGTCATGGGAAATCAAACACACCCCTACCTAGCCACTTTCTGGTTTCATCTGAAGCAACATATATCATGCTTTACAGGAATTTTTACGTGCTGTCACCACAGTCAAAGCTTCATTACAGAACTGACAAGACAAGAAACAGATTCTTTTTTTCCATTACACTGAAACGTTTGTTAATAGTGGTTCAGAACAGAGTGTTTTCCAGCAGTGGTAGAAGATGATGTATTTTCTCTAGGTAAAAGCTGCAGTTTATTTTCAAAATTTTGCAGAAAACATCAGACTTTATATAGGTCCCAATGGTCAACTACAGCTCTGTCCTCCTCTTCCCACTTCAGAAACATACCTTTTCTATACCTATTGAACATAAAACATGATGTCCTGTCTTTTATTAAAAAAAAAGTGGAGGAAACTAGCATAATAAACACATGAAAGTCTCCAACAGAAAGAATAAACTTTAGACTTATTTAAAACCACCTAAATGTAATGCACTTCCCTGTCATTCAAAAGAACTCTTACAACAGAAACACAAAAACGCTACTAACTTTTGGACTGAAAATGAGCCACTGCAAAGCAGTTTACTCATTCTACAGTACCTTCTAATATGAACATAGTTCTGAAACATGGCTGCTTTAGCAACAAATCTGAGTAACGAGCAGAGAAGTAGATGAAAGGTTACACGCTACTGAAGAGCCAGAGCAACCTCAAAGGCACTTCTGGGAACTCTCCTTCTGGGTCCCCATGACAAGGGAAGGATGGGCTGAGACAGTTATTAGTGAGCAGTAAGTAACAGAAATTTTTCTGCATCAGCTCACTGCGTCATGCCCTGGGAAGCAACGACACCATTTAAAAGAGCAAAATCTGAACTGTCTTTTGCTCATCTCGTGCCCAAGATGGGGCTCAAGGGGTGATCTTTGGCAAAGCCAACTTCATCCAGTTGTTCCAAATTATGGTGGTGTGTCCTGGGTTGAGTGAGAGGTGGAGTTTTTTGGTGGCAGGGGAGGGGGCTATCAGGGCAGCCCCCTGTGAGAAGCTTCTTGAAGCTCCCCCAGTTCCAAGCCAGCTCCACTTCTGTTTGGGAAATTGAGCCAATCAGCTGCGCCTCTGCGATAACGTATTTAAGAAGGGACGTGGTGACGGGCAGTGGGACTTGTGAGGAGGAGTTGCTGCAGCTGCATGAACACCAAGGTCAGTGGAGGAATGGAGGAAGAAAGGAGGGGGGAGGTGTGCCAGAGCAGAGACTCCCCTGTATCCTGTGGTGAGACGGCAGGGCGGCCCCCCCCTGCCACCCATGAAGATCTATGGTGGAGCAGACATTGATTTATGGCCTGTGGCTTCTGCGTGCCTGATCAAGGTTCTGTGCCCGAAGAAGGCCGGGGTCTCATGGAAAAAGGTAGCCCTGCTGCTGTAATTCAGCACTGGGAGGATTGCAGCATGTGGGGGTGTCCCACGCCGGAGCAGCTCGGGAAGGGCTGCAGCCGTGGGAGGGAATCCAGTCGGAGGAAGTTAGTGACCCATGACGGAGCAGTGTGGGGAACACTGCGGCCCATGGGAGGAATTCAAGTTGGAGAAAGTTTGTGGAGGACTGTCTCTTGTGAGAGGGGGACCACGATGGAGCAGGAGGAACAAGTTCTGGACACTCCCCTCACCGAAGATGAAGAAAGTGGCAGCACTGACGGCACCCCCCATTCCCTGACCCTGCGCCACTGGGGGAGGAGGTAGAGATATCGGGAGCAGAACTGAGCCCGGGAAGAAGGGAGGGGTGGGGGGAAGGTGTTCTCAAGATGTGGCAATGCTTCTCACTGTCCTACTCTGTTATGTGTTGTTAGTGTCTGTAATAAATGTATGTTCTTTTTTTTTCTTCCCGTAACGAGTCTGCCTTTTGCTCGTGATCATAAAGGGGAATTTTTCCCCATCCCAGTCCTATCTCGAACCCCAAGCCTGGCTCTCTGTCCTTTCTCATTGCCGGAGGGGAAGGGAGAGAGAACTGCTGCATTGTGGTTGGCTGCCAACCAGGCCTAAACCACGACACGGTGTTACGTCCCTCTCTTCCAGAGAAGGAATTAATCTGTTAGACCTAGAAGATGCTGCTATAGCCTCAAGCTGCAGCCAGGCCCGTGCCAGGCCACACTGCTGTCAGCCCTGACCCTCACTGCATGGACATGATGTCCTGGTTGAACTGCAGACCTGCCCATCCCTATGGATCCTCACGCTTAGCTGACCCTGCTTACTGTCACTGGACTTGTTCTGCTGCTCTTGGTGACGGCCTGTGGGACTGCTCCCTGTCCCGTGAGGTCACGGGCCCTGCCAGCCTTGCTGTGACTCTCAGCTCGCTCTTCCTCTACAGGACAGCTTGCCCCTGAACTGCTCTTACAGATACTGCTTTGCACATAAAATTTTCATCTTTACCCATAAAGATAACTACATCAGTATTAATTATAGTCATCTACTACTGTAACAGTAGAAGGAACATCAAGAAAAGTCAATCAATTCCAAAATATAACCGAGAAAAAAAAAAACCAAACACAACATGAAAAGAGGTATAGGGAAAGAGTAACACATGTTTCAAAAGAAAAACCACCACTACCAAAAAACTTCAAACAAACTAGTGCTCACCTTTGTTCTTAACCTACCAACTTCATTGACCATTTCAGAATACCTGTTCTTCATTTCTCCCTGCAAATTAAGCTGGGACTCTCTCTCCTCATATACCCTTAGTTTCTTCATAGCTCTGCTCAGAAGCCTCTTCAACCTGCACAGTAAATTAGTCAAGAAATCAATGAAGCAAAAGAACAACTGGCCTTTTTCACATACCCTCATGTAAAGAGCTCAAACACAGCTTGCTTCATCTTTAATGTGTTTGACACATGAGGAATTACTGAGAAAAAACAGCATTCCTGTGCCACAAGTCACTTGGAGGGTTCAAATTTCACCTGAAAAGAGGAATAAAAGCCTTCCTTCCCTTCCAGGAAAACTGCAGGGCAATCTGCATTTGCAGTTTTTTGTCAACTGTTGAAAACTATAGGCATGTGTACAGAAGCACCTTGCAAGAACTAACACAGGGCTTGAATTTGCTCACAGTTAGGTACACCTATTTTTATGTTAAAGTTCAATAAAGCTTGACTTCTACTCAGGGAAACCTCTTCACCATACTAAAAAGCCATACCTCTTACAGTCTTTCTGCAGTTCGATGTTTCTTTTCATTTCTTGGTCCAGGCGCAGTTCGACTGGGCGTTTCAACTCTACCAGCTTCTTCACTTTCTTTCTTTCATTCTCACACTTTCAAAATAGAAAAGATACATGACACACAGAGCATAGGAACAGTATCTCCATATAATGTGTGCATCTAGCATTCTCCACAGAGAAGCTGCGGTGTGTCTTTCTCTGTTAGCCAAGTTCCACAAAATGCCAAGGGACAGAATTCCTGAGAACATTTAAATCACTTGAGGTTTCACATCAAACAGGCCAATACCTAACAACAGAAACAGATGCCCCCACTGAAGCAAAGGCCACATTCTTCTAATGCTTCAAGGCAGAAAGGTGGAGAATATGCTGGAGAACACTTTTGGCAGCTCCTCTGCTCGTAACAGGGATTATGTAGGTATGCACATCACAGGAGAGTGTAAGTCAATTTAAAGCTTTCATGGGATCTTCAACAACCAGCAGGCAGGAGCTTGCGGAAGAATTTGACTTTTTTGAATTCTTCAATGTTTTATTTTCCTTTGCCATTACCTCCATCTCTTTTTTGTGGGTATTCATTCACATGTTGTTCTTCCTCTTGCTGTTTTCTCAGCCAAACCAAAGGAGAGCTGGCAGCTCGTTTGACTTTATACTTCAATTTTTCCTCTGTGAAAAAGGAGAAAAGGAAAAGACTGCCCCTTGGAAACTGGCAGCCATTTCTCCTTTCCCAAGAGCTAGTTCATTTGGTCAGAACTCCTTCAGTACGTTTTTCTGCAAGGCTTTTAAGCTTCTGCTACCCTGAAAACATGCAGCGGCTCCTCCAGACATTGCACTGGAAACATGAAGCATTTTAACCCAGTCCAGAAACCACAGGGTCAGAAGATGACCAGAAAGAATCCAAGGAAAGCACCGGGAAACTGCAGCCTTGCTCCGTATGCTCAACTGATAGCAAGCCACACTGGGAACTCTTCCCAGCTGAACCACTCCAGAATTTACACAAGGATACCTAGCTAGCTTTTATTCACTTCATGGATGATCCCCAAATCACAAGATCCTCAAGACTGAACAGCAGGGGTAACAGAAGAAGCTGAGGATGTAAGAACTCGACAAAAAGGTAGACACTGTTCTCCTGGGTATTGGCTGGGTGTCCGGAGAATTTTCTGGACTTACCTGTTCCAAGAGCTCAGCCTTTTCCCTGTCAAGCTGAGCAACACGCTCTTCAAGGTGGGATCTTGACTTCAACTGCTCTTCCCGCATGCTATGCAAGTCCTTTGATGTCAGAGTCAGCACGTTCTGCTTTTGCATCTGTGAAAGCAACCATGGCAAAAGAAAAAACTACAGTGACCAGAAAGACAATGCTGCAATAGAAAGCGGAAACTGAAATGGAAACAGGCCTAAGCTCTCCCCTCCCCGTCCAAGATCTGTGGATAAGGTTAATGCGGAGTGTAATACACACCTCAGGAAACATGACTGAGAACAGCAATTGAAGCTGGTGGAAAGAATGAACACCCTCGAAGCAACAAGGTTGCAACTTTGGGGGGATAAGATGCACATGTACACACAGTCACCTTACAACCTTCTTCTAGAGTTCCTCTGAAGTTCATAATGATACATACCTTATAATATAATAATTCCTCTAACGCCTACCACAGAAAATACCCTACCTTCATGGCCTTTGTAACAACTGCACATGTCCTGAGAGCAAGGAAATGTTTTCAAATCGGCAGTGTTATTTATCCTTCTACCCAGAGGGACAAAGACTTGACTAACAGATATAATTGAGTGGAACAAAACTTGCTGACTTTGCTCAAGTATAAAGAATGCAAGATGACTAGATGCTTTTAGTGTCATTCTGTACAGATCTACAAAATGTCATGAAAACATGAGCACAAAAGCTTAGATAAAAAGTCCTCACCTCGGGGTGTATAACTTTCTCAAGTGTCCTTATAGAGTAGGTGAAACACTGGGTCTGATGAGAGAAGCTAACATGGTCTCAAGGGAAGCTGTGACAAAACTGCAAAGCTAACATGGATTTCCCAAGTCCAGTCTCCTCTCTCAGCTTTCAACTACAGATCCCCCTCCTGCCCACAGCACCAATCCTATCCATCATGTGCCATGGTTTAACTCCAGTAGGCAGCTAAGCACCACACAGCCACTTGCTCACTCCCCCCTGCTGGGATGGGTAAAGAAATCATCAAGCAAATCATGCTGATGAACACAAGTATCTTGCACACCACAACACAAATACAAAATACAGCTGCAGGGCAATGAGGAAATTTATAGCCTTTTCCCCTTAGGGTGCCTTGCCCTAAAACCAGAAAGATATTTGTCAGCTGAACTACACCTACACAGCCCACCTGATCTTTTCATCAATTACCTTCACACAAAAAATTCAAAGACTAAAACAGTCATTCACAGAAGCCAGTTATGTACCTGCTGCTGGTGGTCCTCTGCAGCTGCTTGTGTTGTTCGTAAGCCAGTTATCAAGTCTTCCAGGCGGTTATGAACCTACAGAAGCATTAAGAGAAGCAAGAAGACACACTATGACTTTCCAGACTGAAGTTTACACCTCATTACCAAAAATAAGTATCACATACGCTTCTTCATTCCTATAGTATTTATAGCCAGCACTGATGTTCAAAATGGCCTTAGTTTGATGCCAACGTAAAATTGTTAGCAATCATCACCTCTGCCATTTGCTTCAGGGAGAGAGAACACCATGTGGGATATAAAGAATCCGCAATGTAAACGGGCAGGAGTAGCTTTTCTCATTCACAGTACATGTGAAAACCATGCCCTATTAACCAAAAGCGAAGGACCAGCATTGTGTCTACCTTCCTTCTTCTCTTATCAGTACATCACAAAGTTCCACTTTCATATGTAGTTATTTTCCGAATCTCTTCAACACCAATTAACAAATAGAGTTATAACAAGCACCCTAGTTCACTAGTTCTAATACAAAAATAATTTGCTTTACACCGGCCACAGATGAAAGCACCTTATCTGAGCTAAAATTCACCACGGCGTAGATAGGCAGTGGAAATTCCAAGGCTCACACTGAGTTCTTCAAATGATACTATATGCATTCCTCTTCGTTCCATCAAAACAAACACACACCAAGTGGCCAAAGGAAAAGCAATTCTGCATCGCAAAAGCTCTGTGGAGTTTTCATTCCAGTCTGAGGATGCCAGTTAGGCCTCCGACGTGAAGCACTTGGCATCAATATCCCCTGTGGGATTTCTACACGTTAGCTTGATGAATACCTTTAATGATATACATTGCAACAAGTGTCTGAAGCAGCATCTGATGTCATGATGGGTCTAAAGAAGACAACAGTTACACCAGCATCTGAGTGTCAAATCCCTATCTTTTGGAGTGTTGAGTAGGACTTGCTATAGTAGTGTGGGAGAACTCTGAAAACCAGAAACTAACCAGGCTGACGCCTGAGCAGACTCTATTCAGGAGAACGCAGGAACTGAGTTCCCCTAGGCTCTCCAGGACAACCTCATCTTACCATGCCCCTACAGAAATACATAACCAGGCGCACAAGAAGGGAAGTTCATGATCAGCTTACTGAGGCAGAAGCTTGCAGGTCTCTCTGAAGGGCTTCAATCCTATTGCTCTGTTGCTGGACTGTGGCTTCCAGTCTGGCATTTTCAATTTCGAGGCTTAAAAAGAAATACAGGTCTTATTACAGAAATCTACCAGAGCACCAGTTCTGAAAGAACAGTGTGGAGTAACATAATCTCAGACAACAGCATCCGTCAGAATCGGGTATTAACTTGCTGCAATGCACCAAGGCTATCCTGTTGTTATCACACAATCCCAGAAAGCAACAGACATCTTGCTTCAAGGTGTTACTCTCTTACCGTTGCACATGCTCTTCCAGTTGTTTTATAGTGGTATTAGTCCCAGAAGATGCCAACAGGAGGTCCTGCAGTTTCTGGGAAGAAGCTATGACTTCTCTTTCCTTATTATCTAAGCTGGCCTTCAAGTCGTGAACACGATGCTCAGACTGAAGATGCTGTTCTTCCAACTCCCGCAACTGTAAAATTACAGTAAGAATCCACAGTCATCAGGTGAGCTTTTCTAGAGAGGAGTCACCTGCTGCTGAAGAACTCAAGTGCTGCATATATCTGTGCATACCCTCTACCCAAAGAAGGGTAATCATTGCAAGTACATTCCAACCTTCACTTCTACTTGCAGATGAACATAAACCGTGCTACTACATCATCTTTTATACTGGCCTCTCCCATCCCTCCACTGATCTCCTACAGCACTGTTCTAAGCACTGACACTGCCCCTCCTACCCTTTCAGTGTCTCGTGACACTCTTTATATCCAGTTGTTTCCTCCTCCATGGAAGCATGAATTAAAAACCTCACCTTTCTTCTAAACCAACTTCACAACTCCCTCACAGAAAGAGATGAAGAGGATTTCTATTTCAGAACTCTGAGGCCTCTATACCTCAGTTTTCACAAGAATACTGTAAAAGGTGCTCCTCACCTCAGAAAGTAGCTTACAGTTCACTTGCAAGAAGGCTGCTTAAGAACGGCAAATAACAGTAGGACCAAAGAAAGAGGAAAAAAGATTGGAGAAAAAAAAAAATATATATGAATGTAACAGGTTACCTGGTGGCAGGGGTGTGGGGGGCAGGGGAAGCACAGATAGTATAGAAAGGCCTAAAGGGAGCAGTTCAGTATTTCTACTGTTCTTCAGAAACCAGAAAATCTGCTTGGCCGAAACAAATGCAGTAAGCTATAGACACATTAGCTTATTTTGCAAAGCACCTTAGGAAATAGAAACCTTTGTCCAAGTAAGGACATCGTGTCATCATGTCACAGACCGTCCAGTCATGGATACCAGGTTTATAAAACAGTCCAATTCATTCAAACAGCATTAACTCTATCTGTTGAAGCCTTTTCTAGGGTTTTAGGACAACATTCGCTCCTACTTTCAACCACCACTCTCATATTTATTCATATAGACTTTACATACCTTGGTTTTAACCTTTTCCAATTCTTTTTGTAAGCGCAATTTGTCTTCCTCCAGGTCACTGCGGTAGCGTGTAGTAACTTCAAGTGAAGCTTCTGACATAGATTGCTTTTTCAGAGCATCGGCAAGTTCCTGCTGCAGCTGTCTGACCATGCCCTAATAAAACAATTAGCATGAAGAAAACGGTAAGAACATGAAATATGCCTTTATTTTAACTTATTTGATTAATACAACTAGAACTGTTTTTAGACTGAACTCAAAGGTATGAAATTTTGCTGCCATCAGCAGCTATCTGCACAGATGATGACCTCTCCATCTTGCTCAGCTGAGCACCTCCAAACTATCAGCAACTGTTCATGAGGATTTCTGTTTCCTAATACAGAAAAAAAGACAAAAGACTCAAGTATTATTCTTCTCAGAAGAATACACAAGTACACACTGCAATCATGTATTTTTTTCTAACAAAAACCAATGAAATCTGTCGTGATGTAAGAGTCCCAGTTTGACTACAGCTATTACTCTGATGACCAAAAGCAGGACTTTGTATTGGACCATTCTTGGCTCTAGTCCTCCATTATACAAATTCAATTAAATGAATACATATATCTGAAAGCTCTGTTGAGATACACTTCATGTATATGTTGAATCACATCCTTTTGCACTCTTATTACTGAGCTCATTTTAGAACAACTGCCTTTATACTGACAGATTAGGTTTACAAAAATGTGGATAATTCATATCTATCTATCCATATCTCTATATTTATATCTCTATCTGTCTATCTAGTATCTTCAGAAGGAACCTGTTATTTTGGTAGTAAGAATACAAAGCAATTCACAGATTAAAATGATTGACAGCACTGCTGGAGCTCCTCCCCCAGTAACTGACAAATTAAGAATAAGGTGGTTATCTGACACATGCAGATATTTACCTCCCTCAAAGATTCTGGATTTGTTATGAAAAGGGAAATGCAATTTTAAATCACTCTTCAAATCATTAACGGAGACAAACTTTACACCAGAATGTCTAAATACTGAATGTGATTAGTTCCTATTTTCCCAAAAGTAAGGGAAGATTAAACAAAATGAGTAAGGCAACTTTAAAAGCATTGTTCTACCTGGGACTGGTGGAATACTCTATCAATAGAGAAGACCCTATCTACTCCTATGAATATATATAATAATGCATTCTCCCATTATCTATAGATTTTTCAACCATCTACTTATTCCTCCCTCCTACCCCTGCGCTTTTGGTTTTTTTTTGTTTGTTTGTTTGTTTTTGTTTTTTGTTTTTTTTTTTTTTTTTCCTTCCATCCTGTTTTCTTGAGAAAAAACATCTACATGATGAAATGGGAGCAAAACTTGGCTCACACACGTCTGAGCGACACAAAATTATGCTAGTGCTCTGCATAGGAGCATATTTCATACTCATACACTGTGTCAATTTTCAGAAAGACAATTTAACATTTCCTAATTAGCCTTCTGTCCAGCTAATTAAGTCTTTCAGAGCCACAAAAAGAGAGCACATCTAAATGTGGCTACACATCATAAAATAGAGAAAAGAAAGCTTAGGTCAGTGTCCGAAATGAACTTCATGAGGAACAGGCAAGGGCCCTTAGAACCCCCAAAACACATACATCAATTAACACCTGAACACTACTAATACTCTTCAATTTTGATAGCAACTTATGGAGAAGTGATTTTTTTTTTTTCTCTGTAGGAGCTTAATGTAAACCCACCCCCCATCACTTCACTTGTCTGTATCTTAATTTCTCAACCCTTGCATACTGGATGGTTCTCTCTTTTATATGACTCTTATTTGTGTCATCAGTGCAATACATATATAAAACCCATCAAATACATAAACCCATTCGATAGGGCATAAAATGGACTAAGGAAAAGAGATGAAGAAAGTTCTAGAGAAGAATCACCTTTCTTGATCAAATCTTAGACTTGGATATTTCTTTATCTGTTCTCTGCTCAGATCTGAGCAGTAACATCCTGTTTGCCAAAACCTCCCACAAGTCCAAGAGAAACATGACAAACCAGAACAAATCAGCATTATTTGGTCCCATGCACATAACTTATACCTGGTACATTTCAGAAACATAAAATAATTTCAAGAACTGACAAACTTTAAGTTGTTCTTTCCAAGTGTATACTTTACCTCTCTTTCTACTTTGTCAGTCTCATATTTAAAGACTTGTTCTCTTAAATCAGTACACTTGGCATTTAATTCCTTGTTTCTCTCTTCCACTAGGTAAACTTGCTTTTCAGTATCAGCTCTTAGTTTGTTGAAAATATCATTAAACCGGTCCTGTACATCATTTACTACTTTTTCTTTGATGATCCCCTTGTTCTGCATATCTTCCATTTGCTGACGGAGTAAAAGGTTTTCACTCTGGAGCTGGGCCAATCGCTCCTGCATGGATTCCTGCTTTATTATAAATTTGCTTACTTGATCTTTCTCAAGTTGACGAGCATGATCACATTCCTTTGCCTGACATTGGGCTTGACTTAATTCTTTTTGTGTCATTTCTAAAAGCAATGTTTTTTCTCTGAGGGTTTGTTTCAACTGGTGAAGTTCATTTTCTAGACTATTAGCTTTGCTTTCAGCTTTACTCAGCTGCTGAGACAAGTTCTTCCTGGTTTCTCGCACATCAGAAAGGTCCTGATGGAGCTTGTCTTGCAAGCGAAGCCATTCATCACGTTCTCTCTGAAATGTTCGTTCGATATCAATTTTTGATGACTGATGACGTTCAAGTTCTTGAACAGCAGTGTTCAGGCGGGAACGAAAGGATTCAATTTCTGTTTCTAGTTTGTCTTTGCTTTCTTTTGTCTGCTCAAGTTTGGAAGTTAACACTGCAGATTCTGTCTTTAATAAGTTCAGCTGTCCATTGTACTGAAAAACTGTTTCTGTTAAGGCTTCCTCATTCAATTTAAGTTCCTTTTTGAGATCTTCATTTTTTTCTTTCAAGGTCTCATTTTCCTCTAGATACTTTCCTTCTTCTTCCTGATGCCTATGTCTTACTTGATCAATTTCTAGTCTTAGTATAGCAATCTCATCTTGTAGTAACTGATTTTTGTACAACAGATCCTTTTCTCTCTCAGTGTCAGATTCCTGAATGACAGGGAACATGAATAAATAGTTGGGAAGTGAATCTACAAAAACACTTCAGCATCAAACTGCATTTTAACATTTCTAATACTGAATCATGACTTCAAAGATGAGAGTGAGATTTCAAGAAATACTTAAGCTACTCTATGAACCCATGCATGTGTACAATGTATGCACACACTGGAAGTGTAACATACCCTTAAAATCTAAATGAAGATCCCAAATATACAATGCCTTTTCTTTTTTTTTTTTTTTTTCTTAAGTCAGCAACCAAATAATAAAGTTATTTTAAATATCCCAAGTATAAAGCTTTTAAAATGATGGTGCCTTATTATATGTGCATGCCTTCAAAATATTCCCTTTAAATGTTAATGTAGCTGTGTTACAAATCTGGTAAAAAACAAGACTAAAAAAGGGTCTTTCTCTCTTGTGCTACCTTTCATCTTGCATCAGTTGTCAAATGTCTTCTTAACACTTATCCTTTTGTACTGCTGAAAGATAGATATACAACTAAATCATACAAGACTATTACATTCTAGGGATATTTCCTGTTTGTTATATATACAACTTGTTTCCACATAAACATATTCACTATGCTTATTGGGCAGCAAAGCCAAGAACAAATAATTCTTCCAAGCACTGGACATTTTTAGTAAATTCAGTAAACTCTTTCCAAGGTGGGTTCTTTTTTTTTTTTAACAGTATTTATGACTGCTTTTTCTCCTCTAAATATTCCAACTGCTATAGAGAATTTAGCTCATTGCTGATATTCCTTCATAAGATTTCAGTATGTGGAGGTGGAAAAGAAAGGCATACTTGAAGTACTTTTGATGAGGGAATAAGTAATTAAAAAAAAAAAAAACAAAAAAAAAACCAAACAAGTAATAGAAACACAATGGGTAAGCGTCAAACAATTTTTTTCCTGGTCAAGCTAGGTGTAAGCTAGGTGTTCCACTGCTAGAAACCTTAAAAAGTGATGATAAAATGTCTATGAAATGAAAAATAACAGATGGCTTAATAAATGGGATAAACAGTGTCTTCTATTAGTCTCCTACTTGCACATGCAATTCAGGTACATACAGGACTGATGCTGCTTTCCAGAACTTTTAAAGACACGAAGGAAAACAGAAAATGTATTTACACAGTGAAGTTACATTGGTAAACTGTAGGAAAAAAAAAAAAAAAAATCCATCAAGAAGCACAAAAAAATTATGTAAGAATTAGTATGACTTTAGAACAAACATGGCGAAATTTAATTAACTAGAAAAAAAAGAAATGCTTACCTCTGAATTTTTTCCTATGGTTCTTCTTGTCTCTTCTTCCAGTTCTTTCTCTCTCCAAAGGTGGTTGTTCAAAATTCCTTCTTGCAGGGCTCTGGCACTCTTTTCCTGAGAGAGCTGTCTCTGTGTTTCATCACGCTCTTCTTCAACCTACAGTAATACAATTAAACTGCTTGCATCTTGAGAAAAATCAGAGCTAGTACTATCTTCCCATTCTCCTTTGTATTCTTTCATATATTTTTGCTTCCCCACAGTTATGATAATCCATCTACAAATAACAAATTTTAATTTTCTCCTGAAAAATTAAGAAGAAATATAGAAAGTTTTGTAGTAATTTAGAAAAATAACTCAAAGTCAGGCTTTGCCTGAAATACAAACGCAACATAAATTTTGAAAAAGGAGAAAAGGAATCATGAACTTGAAAAGAAAAAAAACCAAAAACAACAACAAAAAAAACCCCAAACAAAAAATAAAAGAAAACAAACAAAACCCCCCAAAACCCCCAGATCACTTGTGAATCAACTGTTCTCAACTGTCCTCAAAATTTGGCAATAGTTATCCAATGCCTCTTCCACAAGGAAAGTAGCTCCTCCTTTAGGCATACTGGAATACAATACCAATTTAAAAGAATCAGAAAGTAAGAAGAAAAGTGTTTAACTCATTATTTAATATACCTGTTTCAATAGTTTTCTCACTGTTATTAACTCCATTTCTAAATTCCTTGAGTGTATCTCAAGTTGCTGTTTCTCCTCCATCTCTTTACAATATTGATCTTCACTCCTTCTTAGTGTTTCTCTTGTTTTCTCATATAGCGTTTCTACTCTGAGCCTCTTTTCCTCTTCTTGTTTCAAAGTAAATCTGAGATTTAACAGAATATTTGAAAAACTAAAACACTGATACAAAAAGTAGATATTCCACATTATGAACTTTTAGAGACAACTTAAACCGTACAAGTGCTAAATATTTTCAGATTTTATATTTTTACTTTAATTTTTAACTTTTTAAAAGAATTCTAACTTCATTCCATTATCCATGGTATCAGTTATACTAGATACTGAAATAAACCACCACGTGATTTCTCATTTATTTGTAAGTTTACATAGGTAATTATATAGTAGTATGCACATTTCTATAATGCTTAAAAAAAAAAAAATCATCTTATTACAGACATTTCATTAAAAAGGAGTTTGTCGTCTTATCAGATCAAACCATCACAAACTTTCACTATGTTTAATATACATTTTCTTAATATGCTCAGCATTGCCTACATATTATGGATTCAGTGACTGCAAGTAATACTGATGAAGCAGCACACCACATATCTATGACAGACCTGATCAGCAACTGATGAGCAAGCCTTCTGTAAGTCTAAACCAACTGCTGACCATAGGAAGAGCAAGCAGTTTCTATTTACTCAAGAATGAGGTCAAGTGTTCAGAAATAGATTTAGAAATGCATAGGGGTTTAAGCTTAATACAATTAAAAATAGTTTTAAAACTCAATGGATCTGCATCTGGGAGAAACAACAGCAATTTAATTTTGAAGCAAATTTACAATGAAAACCTTAGGGAATGTCAACTTCTTTACTAACTGAAACAATCAACAGTTAAGCACCAACATGGTAAAACTGGTCCATAGTGTATCCATGCCACCCAAACAAGAAAGCAGTTTTATATTTTTTAATTATTTTGAATATTTTTTCTGATATCCTTGCAACAGTTAACAAGAAAAAAAAAATCAAGTATTAACATAAGAACTGCCAGTTCAACATTTGCTTTAGAAATTCTGCAAAACAAGTATCAGCAACCACTAATAAAACATTCAAAAGATTGACAGTAACATTTGTATTTGAATGGTTTATATTGCAAGAAAAAAGCTTTATATATAATTTTTAGCATAATTTTACAAGAAGTATAGCTTTTATAAGTGTAAAGTTAACATTGTTTTGAGAATTTACTTAGAATGAATATATTAATTCTTTGTAATCTATAGGTATTTGAGAATTTTGAAAAACAGTTGGAAGTCGACAGTTGGAGTCAAATCCAGGCCAAGTCGGGACTGGCTCTGTCTTCCTCATAATCCCCTTCCAGATGCTGGGAGCACAACTCCTTGAAGCTCAGTTCCCTCAGCCTCTCCTCACAGGGCTGGTGGTGCTCCTGCTCCCTGACCAGCTTGGTAGCTCTCTGCTCAACTCACACGTATCGATTAAGACCTCCCTTGTACTGAGAGGCCAAAAATTGGACCCAGTGCTCTAGACACAGTTCAGCAAGTGCTGAGCAGGGGCAGAAAATCACTCTCCTCAATCTCTTGGTTTTGCTGCTCTTAATACAGCCCATAATGCCATTGGCCTTTTCAGCTGCCAGCTCATGCTGGCTCACGTTGAGCTTGCTCTCTGCTAAGACCACCAAGGACTTCTCAGCAAGCTCCCCAAGCCAGGCCATCCCACGGTACATCATCACAGGGGGATCCTCCTTCCCAAGTGCAGGGCCTTACATTTAACCTTGCTGAATTTCTTATTGTGCCTGCTGGCCACTCTTGTCTGAAGTGATGTGAACAGTGATTAAAAAGCTCACACAATCCAGGTTTAGCTCAAGAATATGGGGGAAACAGGCAATCCTGAACTCAACTTTCTTTCAAACAGACAAACAAGCAAACAAACAAATGCTTTAAGCACTGTTTTGAGTTTCATTCCATGGAATTACCAGGATTCCTATACACCAATAGAAGCTGAAAAGACAAAAAACACAAAATACAAATCTTATAAACCCTTATAAATCTCATTTTCCATACCTACTCTTTATTCTATTATCTTGCTATTGGAAAAAAAGAATTAAAACAGTATCTAAAAGATTTTACACAGACCTAATATCCAAGGCATTTTTTCCCCCTTTGACGTTACATCCTTAATAGCATGGCTTGCCCATGGGATTCAAAAAACCCAAACCCAAAAGTCTAGAAACTTATCCTATCACCTGTACAATCAGCATCTTCTGCAGCATGAACACAGACAGGATAATGTGCATTATCAGAATGCAAGGTTACATACTTAAGGCTTTGGATATCACTTTTCCATTCCACTTCTTGGTGAGCCAATATGGATTTCAAATCTTGAGTTTCTTCCGCTTTTAACTGTGACTCCTCCTTCTCACTTTCCAATTTTCTCACTTCTTTCAAGACAGCTGTATAACGATTTTTTTCATGTTCTATTATCTGTTCGTATTCAAGAAGTATGTTTTGAATTTTCAACAAAATAGCAGAACCTATTTTGAGATAGAAAAGACACAAAGCTGCACATATCCACAAACACTTTCCCATGCATAAATTATTTAATGCTTTGCTGTACTGAGTATAGGTGGGGCAAGATCTTGGTAGTGGGAAGACTGCAGGTAGTGGGGAGATCAGTGTGAGAAGAGGCTGGGGCTGCCCCATGACAGACGGTTCCAATGGACCCACTGCAGAGCACAGCTGAGCTGGTGGCACCTCGGGGAAAACATCTTTAGAAAAAGGGCAGAAGAGGAGGAGGTGGGGAAAAAGACTGTGAGAAACAACCCTGTGAACACCATGGTTAGGGAAGAAGGATGGAGAGGTGGTGGTCCAGGTGCTAGAGCTGAGATTCCCCAGCAGCCCTTGGAGACACCACAGTGGAGCAGATATTTCCCTGCAGCCCTTTGAAAAGGACCATGCTGGAGCAGATATCCACAATGCAGTGCTGAGGAGGACCCCATGCCAGAGCAGGTGGGTATTTCCTGAAGGAGCTGCAGCCCACAGAAAGCCCTGGCTGGAGCAGATTTTCACAGGACTGCAGACCATGGAAGGACTCACGCTGAAGCAGAGGAAAGGTGTGAGAGTAAGGAGCTGCACAGAAAAACTGTTATGTCCTGACTGCAGACCCCATCCTCCCTGCACTGCCTGGGAAGAAGTAGAGGCATTGAAAGTGAAGTTGAGCCTGAGATGGGGTTGGTTGGGAGGGTTCTTTTATTTTTTTTGTCTTTGTTTCTCACTATTCAAATCTATTTTAATTGTTAAAAATTAAGTTTCCCTGAGTGAAGTCTGTTTTACCTGTGACAGCCCTGTCTTTATATTGATCCTTTATCTTTTTCATCCTATTTTGTCCTGTTGAGGAAGAGCAGTGAGAGACCAGCTGGGTGGGACTTTGACCCTTAGCCCAGGTTAACCAACATCTGCCTAATGAAATTTTAACATAGTTTAAAAGACATAGGAAGTGATGCTTATGGTTATATAATGCTATGTACCTATATGCAATCTTATGACACTTGATGATATATATATAGATTTTTTTTTTTTAAGCAAAGCTTTTATTTTGCTGCACTATTTGTCATTACCTATTGGGGGCATACAAAGAGAAAAAAGAAGATCTTACTGACTTCTGATGACTACATTAGAAGGAGCTGAACTGTCTGTTGCAAGAACCTGCTTCTCCAACTCTGACTAGACAGAGAACCAATGATAAAAATAAGGCATGTTTGCTGACAATACAGATGGACATTTAAGGTTAGTTGAGACGAATTGCACATCTTGAGCAGGATCTCTGAACATAAAGAAATATTAGCTCAAAATAGAAAACTAAAATATCTAAGAGTATATACAAAGAAACTGTGTTCTAAAAGAGGCACTCATAACAGCAGAAGTCAAAGTGACTTGAAAACTTACCTGTATGATCCACACTAAGCTGTTCTAATAGCAACATAGCCTCTTTGTAGGTTGAAGTTGGCAATTCAACGTCTTCTGAAGTTGTGTCAGATGACTGAGTTAAGTCAAGGTCATCAGTTACATCCATTTGTATACTGACCTACAAACAATACAGTATTTTGTGGATACAACTATACGCTATTACAGATCATTACAAATGCATGAGTGATTCATTCTCTCATTCACAGCCCATAGATTTGGCTCAAATATGATAAAGTTGCATTCTAGCAGCAATTTGTGCATCTGCTTGATTACTACATAAACGCTATTCCCATTTAAGTGATTAAAAGCTGATACAAACTATTTATCAAGAAACTAATTTTACAGTACCTTGTTTTTTTCACCGCCTGTTTTTGCTGCAGGTCTGGAAAACAGAAATATATTTCAGTACTGGAATTCTTATATTGCATTATGAACAACACCTAAAGTTGCTCTGAAAGCTTAATTTCAGAAGTGAATTAAACTAAAATTTAATGTAAGAATTTTGTCAGGTGTAGTTGAAGACTGAAAGAAAATTTGTGTACTAGTATGTCTATTGGAATGCTGTTTTTTCCACAAGATCTTATACAAATTGTTGAAATAACGGTTCTCTGTACTTGACTCAAAAGTTAGGAATCTTACAGATACAGACATGTGGATATACAGATACACAGTTATGTGCATTCCCTTTTTAATACTAGCGGTTTAGCTCTTTTCAGTATAGAAAATCTTTCTCTTACAAGTCAAAAGAACCATAATTTTGGATTCTCTAGTGTACTGGGTCTGTCTGGGATGGAGTTAATTTTCTTCATACCAGCCCATGCAGTGCTGTGTGTTAGATTTCTGACCAAAATAGCACTGATAACATACCAATGTTTTAGTTATCATTGAACAGTGCTTATACAACTAAGCTCAGGGTGGGCAAGAAGTCGGGAGGGGACACAGCTGGAGGGTGGGGGACGGTGGGAGCAGGGTCAAAAGCAAGCAGAGAAAACAGAGATGCCTGCAGTGAAATAGTAATTTTGCTCTTTTATAAGCTTCTCCTCTCCCTTTTAAAAAAAATATGTATTTACATGCAGCACACACTCAGGTAAATCAGAATTTCTGCACATCTGACCTTATTATTGACTTTGCTAGTATGTCCAAAGAACTCTAAGCAAAAAGTAAGTGTTTTTGAACTCAAAGGGCATCAGGTAGTATTGTCACATGAAAGAATAAGAATCATTGTACACACCAGGTTTACAAAACTTACCTTTAGCTTTCAGGACATTTTTTATCATTAAGTAACTTTTATTTATTTATAACATTCCTTATATTCAGTACCTTCCTTCATCTTGAGATGTTTCACTGAAAGTGCCATCATCCAGTACTTGAAAATTATTGCCACTGGAAGAGCTCATCTGCTGATTAGCCTTCTGCTTTGAAGTCCATCTTTTGTTTTTCTTTGCAACTTTGGCACTCAGGGCAAATTTACTACATTAAACAGAAAGAAAAAAGCAAAACAAAACAAAACACCAATTGAATAGCTTTAAATAACATATTTCTGCGAACCAGACATACTCAAGAAGCAACCAAGATTAAAAATGTCTACTACAAAACACAGACTTGACTCCACAGATCCTGGAAGATACCCAAGTATTTTAAAACCTTCCCCTAAGAATGAGGGGGAAATGTGGAATCTGAAGTAAATTCAAATAAGCTAGAACACATCTAATATTCCCATCAGAGGAAATATCTAGAGCAGAGATTCCCCTAAAGGACAGATAGGGAAAAATTCCTGCTTAGGGTTACATAAAAATATCTGTGTCTTCTTCAAACTTTGAGGTTGGTTTGGTAATATCATGTTTCCCCTTTTCCTGACAAAGAGGATCTGAATTTAAGGAAAACACCAACTGCATGGAAATCACTAAAATCACCTAGAAAAGGGAGAAAGCAATGTGCATGTTCCTACTTTTCTTTTCTGAATGGCCATCTCCTACAAAAACAGCTGTTTTTTCCAGTCTTCAACTTTGGTTTTGAAGACGCGTTTTGCCTCAGTATAGACAAGGAAATCCACACGGACTTGGTTTCTATCTTTTTTTTTTTTTTTTCCCCCCCCTCTTCTTTTTTTTTTTTTTTTTTTTAAGCAGGCAATAAATCTGAACCTCCATTATGAGCTTAGTTTTTTCTTAAAAAAAATTTTTTTCTTAAATGTTTGACAAGCAGTGGACTACTCACAGTATGGCATTCAGCATGTAGGAAACTACTCCAACTACTACAATATCAGCAAAACTAAGAGATACTTCAGTAGTACTACAAATAAGAATTAGAGATTATTTCTTTAGTTTACCCTTTTATCGGCAACCTCATCAATTTTGATCTCTCCTCAGATGGAAATTTCTTTTTGTGTTTTTCTTCTACAGTGTTTTCCTTCTCCACTTTCAAATGGTCATTCTTCCTTAGAGCAAGTTTTTGGTTCATTTGCTGATTAGTAATGTTGCCTGACAGTGTATTTATTTTATCAAGATCTTCTTGTTTTGCCACCTCCTGCATTTTGAAACATCTTTCTTTGCTTTTTTTCTTCTCAACCTACAAAAAGAAAGTGAAGCTTCATATATTTATCAGTATTTCTAGAAGAGAGAAATACCATAAGCAAGATTAAATTCAGGGTTTACCTCTGAAATCACATAATACGAAAAAAAAAATCATATAGAGAAGCATTTTCACAAAATTACACTACAAAGTGTATCAAGTTATTGAAAAGTACTTTGAATTCACTCATGATTAAAGATGTAACAAAAACATAGCCCTTAGAAAAAAAAACAACAGTGTATCTTAACACATGGACAACAAAAAAGTGAAAGCATTACTGATAGACAAAAAGTTAGAAGGGCTGCACAATGTTAGTTGTAAAAACACATTAAAAAAAAAAAAAATCAAGTAGAAGTGTGCTGGGCTACTGCATCCTTATTGGGGGGAGGAGGGGGTGGGGGTAGTGGGGGAAAGATCCAAAACCCACAAGCAGAAATGGTTTCACAGCAAACAATAATTTTAGTGAAGGGCAAAGAAGACACACCATGCAGAAATCACAGCAAATGGATAATTAGTCAAGACCCTGTTCAGAAGCTATTTTCATTCTTTGATTCAGAATCAGAACTGATGTAATTGTGTGCATTTCTTTTTATGGCAATGAAGTGATATCTACTTACACTGGAAATGAGTGCCACCTATTGTTAAACTGGAACAATAATGCATTCTGTGTTTTCCAAAAACCTAATTACATAATGGGGAAAAGGACAAGTCTCCACTGCTCTTTTTATTCATAAGTAATGTATTTTCATTAAAACGAAACCCAATTTGCACAAAGCATCTTCCGTTAATGATGAATAGCTACAGTGAACAGGACCATTGATATGGAGAAAGACTAAAGAATAAGGAGTAGCAGGTGAACTTCTACCTCTTTTTGCAGCTGTACCTTCTCTTTCTCCAAAGCCAGGAATGCTATTTGCAGCATTCCTACCTTACTCTTAAATCTTTCCATATCTTGTTTTAGTTCTTCATCAAGATTCCATTTCGGCATGCCACACGACTGCTGAGCATTTGCAAAAAGACTGTCAATGTCTGTTTCTCCTATTTCATTATTGTTGCTAAGGCAGTCCCTGGGAACACCATCATTAAATTCAGAGTCTTTTCCAAGTTTCCCTTCTGTTACAAAAAGTGTATTTTCATCACTTGTAGAAACAGGTCTTATTTTAGGAAGAATATTAGAAACCTCATCCAAAATGCCTGTTTTTAAGCTATGTCTTGGGGAGTATTCAGGACTTCCTTCTACATTTCTACTATTTCCATTTTCATTTTCTTCCATTTCCATAGTAGGCATTTTCTTTTGCTCCTCTTTTGCTAGAGGCACCTTCCTATTATCTGTATCATTTGTGCTACCTTCTACATCTGTGCACCAGGTATCTTCCATGTTTGCATTTAAGTTATTTTGATCAGGAAGGACACCAAGACATGCAATTGCAATCTCCATTTTGGGTTCTTTTTCACCCAGCATATGTTTAATATCTCCAAATTCACCTTTACTCTCCAACTTATTATTTGATTCAGTCGCACAAGATGAAACAACACGAGAACTCTTCAATTCTTCACTGAAGCCATCTTCTGACATTTCTTCTACAAGTGAAGTAGTTTTCCCAGTTCCATTAATTTCACCAAACAGCTGCTTCAGCTCTGCTGTAATGTTTTTAAAATTTGTTTTCAATTCTCTTTTCTCATTTTCAACCCACATTCTTTCATATCTTTCTTCCCAAAGTTTTGGACTTAACTGCTTGTCAGCACTGTGCGATTCCTCATTTTCTGCTAGGGCTTCCTGATGTGAAATTTCTGCTTTGTCAGTCTGATTTTCATGTGCTGTTTTTTCTATCAAGTTGGTAATTTCTAAAATGTATTTATCCTTAAGTAAACAGGTACAGACAGAAAGTTTACCAAGAAAAAGGAAAGTTACAGTTAATCTAGGTGATTTATGTTGCAGACTCATTCTATCATATAACAGAAATAATAGAAATAAGACATCTTGAAAGCAATTGTTTAATAAAAATCAAGGGATACTAAATTAAAGGTTCACCGAATCACTATTTGCTTAAAAATAGAAAGACTGACTTGAGGAACAACAGTTCCATATTTGTCTGGACATTAGGGTTGATCTTACCTTTTAGCCTGACTGCTTTCTGTAACTGGTGGCATTTGTCACAAAGCAATTTATTTTCTCGCATTTTATTGCTTTAATACCATTTTTCATTACAACTGCCTACATTCTCCCACTCTCCTTCCTCCATCATTCTCTACTGACTGGCATTTTACAGTCCTCTCCCAGCTGAGCTAATACAGTGTGAATAACATGACAAGCTTTTACTGTTCACCACAAGAACTGACCAAGTTAAGATTATTTCTTCACCCAAGACTCAGAAATATTAAAATTCAATTCCAGGCTCCCAAGAAAAGCATTTAATAGGGGAACCTGTCCATTCCTTTCCTTATGCCAAAAATCAGGAACCCAAGCTTGTATGAAAACCATACCGTGCCCCAGCTGCCCCCAGTCTCCTCATGTCCCTGACCCCATGCTCTGTTCCTCAACAGCTCTGACTGCTCCCGCCATGTACCACACACCTCTCAACATGCTCCCTCCCCACATACCTCACAGTCCCTTTTAAACAGGGCCTGCAGCCTTGGTGTCCCAAGCAGCTATGACCGTTCAACGTTTGCTCTCTTTTCTCATTAGCCAGGCCCTTTTCTCCCTCTGCAAAAAATCCTTTCAAATCAAGGAAGCAGCACCTCTGCCAGCTACCATCTGTCTCAGCCTCTACATTCCCAAGTTCATTGCCCAACTACTACCACCTCCCAACAGGCTTAAGTTCTGTGCTCTGCCTGTTAAAACTAAGCACGTCCCTCTTTCACAGCACCTGCGTGTGGGGTGGAAATAATTTGCTACACTGTCCCTTGCAGTGTTACAGAAGACTCCAGACCCCTCTTATCCAGCCCTGTCCTGTACAACCACCACAAACAGGATGCCCTTTGAAAAAAGCCCTTTTCACTTATTAACAATACCGAACAAGCGCGTATTTTGCACAGGCAGGGAAAGCATCAGAAAGGTCACCAAATGTCAAGTTGTTTTGTTTGATCTTTCCCCCACAAAGAGGAAGACCAGGCATGTTTAATCAAACTGATCAGTTTATTACAGACAAATCTGCCCCTTCACTTGAATGTGCATTTTGTGTTAGGGAAAGAAAGGCATTTGACTGCACTGTTTCTCAGCACCACAGAAAAGGAAAAACACTGGTCAAAATTTAAGCAAACCAGCTGGAAACAAATCAATACAACAGCAAGTATCCAACATAATGACATGGATTTTAGCCCACCATAAGAAGACTGTATCCAACTTTACCTCAGACTATACTACAACCTTCATCTACAGGACTCGCCCTTCAGCATTATTCACAGATAAGTTATCTTTACCTCAATGTATAACACAACTTAGCAGTTCAGACTGTAATTCAAAATATTTGGTTTTACATACCTGCATCCCATAGCTTCCAATGCCATCCTTGATGTCTTCTTTTTCAGCTGATGATGACATATGAAAGGTAGATCCCGAGTACTCACCTACCATTAAAATCACATTTTTATAAGCAGCATGACTTAATACTACTTATTTACACCTAGACTGCATCTTGAATCATCATACTAGTGAGAATATTCTTAACACAGTATAAAACATCTCCTCAAATTTGTGAGCTCCTAGAGAGAAAATTATAATAATACAGATTTAAGATGCATTTGTGTGAATTCCGTCCTTCCAGGGCATTTTACTTTTTAATGTACAAAGAAAATTTGCTGAAAATCACTATAAATGGTCACTAATAAACCATTCCTATTTCTTAAGGGTTCATGATCTCTCTGAGACACTGTGTGCCACACAGTAACTAGTCACATTCCTTCAGCACTTTTAATTTCTCTGTGTTATGCACAGAAAACCATGAACAACAAAATCACAGGCTTGAAATCTTTAAGGCCCCAGCTTTAATCCATGCATGAAACAAATCCATCTCTAGACATGAATCTGCATGGAGTATTTCAGTCAAACTGCTGCCTTATCTGTTGCAGAAGATATGGATGGGTTACTGAATGAGACAAGCTTGTGAAATGTTGAGAAACAACCCGTGATCTAGACATTTCAGTTTGTACTGTTGAAAAATGGATTCTACCCTTTCCTCTCTCAGAATTTCTAATATTAGACAGGTCACAAACTCCTCAGGCGCAGTCACTCAGTCTGGGCTCCCCATTATGGGGTGCCTACCTTGACTCTCTGTTACATTTGAGAATTGGACTCCAGATAGTCCCAGATACAATTTAGAAGCAGCAACTCATTGTCATTGTTTGTGTGGAAGGCACACGGAACACTTTGAAGTATCAAGTATTCAGAAAGAAACAAGTCCCAGCAGCTCAAGTGTGGCATCTAAAAACAGAGATGGAGGCTTTTCACTTTAATTGCTCTGTACATCCCTTCCTGCTCCTTAATTATACGGTTTCTACACAATAGCTTTTCTATACAAAAAGCTTCACTGATGAAGAGAGACACAATATTTTTCCTGCAAGAAAAGCGAGCAAGACAGGGAGAAAATAGGTATCATCATAAAAATACAAACGGGTCCAGTATTAATGAGTCATAGAGCCAACCTCACTTCTGGAATTTTCTGCTTTAGGTGACTCCTTTTGCAAGCTTTCATTTCTTGAGGGGGATTACATTAGATACAAGCTTAGCGTTACAACTCATACGTCTCAACTGGGAACCTAAGATCCTCAGTCAGTCATACAGGTCTCCAGAGGTCTATTCTAACCCTGAGTTACAGAGTGTGAAATAACAACCTCCTCCTCCCACCTCAATCACTGGTGGGGGCAATTTCCTAGATTTTTTTGTAAATTTGTTTTTTGGGCATTTTAGTACAAGGCGTTTCCCAACACACTTTAGTCATTAGTGGGTTGACAGCACTTATTTCACAGGGTTGTTATGATGATCTACTGATGAATGACACATTTCAGACAGTCTGACACATATTAAAAATAATAACATCAATAATTAATGATTATCTAAGCATAATGTTCTATAAGGAAAACAGGCATTTTTCCCTTTTTCTTGTTTTTCAAGATTACAGAGCAGATGAAGTTTTTACTGATGCTTTTAGATATCTCAATACCAAGCTGTCTGCTGGTGCAGGTGAAAGCTCCAACCAGCACTAGAAATAGAAGACAGATTTGCTGGTGGTCAAGCAACATTTGTAGGTAGTACCATAAGAAGGTACTGTAGAGAGTATCATAAATTATCAATACCAAGATGCCTGGAACAAGTAAACACTTAGATCCTATATAAATAAACTCCATAATTTGGAGATCAACATCTTCCTTTCCTCCAATAGTTATGCACAGTTTTAGTAGATGGGTCCTTGTCCCTCATACTAGAATTGTAATGTGGCTGGATAATTTGAACCAGCAAGACCCTCCCTTGCTGATCGTACAGTTCTGGGAGTGCCAACTGGAAGTGGTGGCCAGAAGCACTGGAGCCTGAAGAAATCCAAGAGAAGTAACTGCACAGACATCACACTGATTTGTAACATCCTTTCAGAAAACAAGAACTCAAGAGAGCAGAGCTAGGCACAGACAGGCACCCAATATGCCGGTAATTTGCACGTAAGCCTCTTGTGTGGTAACAGTATTGCCTAGAATGAGAAGAGTCTAGACACATCAGTGTCCTTGGAGTTTCTACTACTCTTAGAAGCTTCTCCACCCCATGTACAGCAGGGGGTGATCAATCTCTCAGACAGATGGGACTGCTCCTACACTGTTTCCATAAAGGTACACTTACCAGATTTCTTCTATCACTTCATCATTGTTCACTCAGGTCAAACTGCAACATGGATGCAGCTTCCTACCATACAACTTGATATGTGTGATCGCTCACACCATATAACATGGACACCATAATTTTGCTTAAAAGGTAGGCTATTTTGTGGATGCAGGAGAGCTGTGACACCTTTCCTGAAGAATACTGCACAATACAGACTGAACAGGTTTTTCTGGTCAACTGTATCTGCCTGAAAGCTGGATAAAAGCAGAACTTCCAGCACCCCGAGTTTTGTACTGGCCTTCTAAACATGTAATTTACATTCTCCATTCAGAGAATGTAGGTGTCTTAATGTTTTGATTCTGTTTCAGAGTCCAGACAATTTAAAATTAGTTGCCATATTGCTATAATCAAAAACAACCTGTACTCCTATTCAGTCTTGCCCGTCATGGTCAACGGTAAAGTCTTCAGGAGCATCTACTTGAGTCTGAAGTCTCAGTCTTTAGATAAGATTTTAGGATCTTTGGAGCCCATAAGATTTCTTTTCCATAGGGTTTAAATCAATCTTGACATTTCTGTACAATTGGCACAGAACAAGTCAAAAGGCAGGAAAGATGAAAGGCAACAATGCTCTTGCATCTGCAAAATTCCAGTTCTCATGGTGTCAGGAACTCTGGTCAGCAATTATTTTTCCAGTGACTGGAAAAATAATTTAAAAACATAAACTAAAAAATAAGGACTTCTCACATTAGCTGTTGCAAGTGAAATTTCTTCTCTTCTTGAAGCGGTAATTCATACAGCTATTTTTTGAATTATTGGCTTCTGTCAAATTGTGAAAGAGGGATAACTCCTCATCACCAAGACTTTTTTCACTTTTAGCGCAGGGAAAAAGTTTTAGTTAAAACATTGGTAGAATCCTAGTCTGAAGCTTCCGAAGAGCTTGCCATTTAAGAAAAATGTATATAAAAAATGTACAGAGTAAAATAAATTTGAGTATTTGTGCCAGTCATTTATTACTAGCATGTATTTTTATTAATGGATATCTGCAGTGGGGTTAGATAAATCTGGCTTCGTGCCTAACATATAAATACACACAAATCCCTGTGCATGCAAAAGATGCAAATCCCTCACCTTTTACTTTGCCTGTTCTCTAGCTAGCATCAAAAGATGACTTTTAGCACTCTTTCCAATTAGTCTTTACCTCTTCTCTCCCTTCTGACATTTTCCTTCTCAAATTGTCTTACATAATGACTTTTTGCAGATTACAGTGCAAAGCAGCTACTCTTCTATACAGAGAACGTGAGAACACCACTACTTAATTTTGACCCCAAAACAGATTTTAATAAGTTATTACTGTGAGTCAGTAGCAAAGTAAATAGAATGGGAAATTTCATCTCTCATTCAACATTTAATTGTGTAAGATACTGTACCTGTTTTCCAGATTTATTAAATAAACTTGTGAAGGACTGCATTCAACCCTTTTAGAGTTAGAAATATTTGTGCCACAGGAGTCACGATGCTTTGCTGAAGCAATCTAAATTGCTTAAACCCAAATCCAAACATAAAAGTTTGAAAGAAATTTTCACATGTACTTCTTAACACCTGATCTTGAAGATAACACATAGGTAAAAAACATGACACGAATGAAGACACACAGGAAAAATAGCTTACATGAAATGTCTTTTCTTTCTGTGTTTGTAATATTATAATATACTGGTCCAGTATAGGTCTACATTTCACATTACTGTGTAATACAGACAAAACCAAAACTCATGTTTTAACTGCAACTTTTAACAAACCTCTATGCATCTTCCACAAACAGTATCACCACAAAATAAAGGGCAAAGGAGGGTCTGTTGGTGCTTACTCACTGCAAATATATGAGAGAGAAGACTAGTGGGAGGACATGGAGAAGGAGATGAGTAAGAAGGAGAGAGATATTTTTCCAAGAGAGAAGTTTAATTGCTATTACTGTCAAAAGAAAACCGGTACTTTTTGTTTCCAACCCCTAAAACAAGGATGCCAAAGAACTTGGAGCTGTTGGTATTCTATACTTAGAAGTTACAAGTTCACTTACTTGCCTACACATCTGTTCACCTGTCTCTGGCTTATACTTTCAATAGTTGATTGTAGAAACTCTAAAACCTGAATGGGGAATTGTTTCTCATCTCATTAACAGATATTCAAATCAATAAATGTTAGAACAAAGAAATTTAAAAAACATTGTCATATATCCTCTCTCCAATATATAGTGGACCAGGTAGCTGCTTCACTTTTAGCCATAATTCCAAAGAAAAGAGAATTCCTGACAATATGCTGTCACTGTCTTTTCCTCCCACCTTGTGTCTCTTCTCTACTTCCTTCCCCCACCTCCAAACCTGCAGGTCAGTTTCCATGAAACAAGAGAGAGAAACCTCAGAGGAATGTATTTGATACATGTTTCAAAATAACTGCCAGACAGGTAGAGAAAAGCCAGGCAAGTAATAATTTGTGCTAAGTACGGCTACAGCATGAGCCCAAGAATTACCCTTTGTCTCACCTGCAGCCCCTGGACAGCATAGCTGGCAGATCCCTAGCCTGGAATCAGACACAGCACATTGCTCAGAAAACCAGGAATATCAGGAAAGGTTCTTCTGAGAAATTGGAAGGAAAGCAAATTTCAGGACTGCCTGAAAAGGGGAGATGACATCAGGTATGGTGTAGGAAGCCTACATCATAGAAGGGCATTTACAGTGTTGTACGGCAGACTAGAGGAGGGAGCACACACATGCATAAAGGCATATTTCAGTAGACCTTCTGCTCTCAGAACACCTTGCTAGAACCATCGTATTAGGAAAAAATTTGCAATTACAACATGTCTATCCATAAAAGAACATTACAAAGAGACTGTTATGAATACCTTCAATATCCTCTGCATCTCCTAAACCAAATTCCTCCAATAGATCTGCAAAACAAAAATATCAGATGCTTTATTAAATACTCTTATCCAGAAAGATTATGAAGCTAAACCCAGAACCACATGAAATGAACATTACCTGATTTCTGCTGCATTCTTTTAGGAGAGGTTTCACTCATTTCCAAAACAGGTTCGGGAGTCTTCAGCTATGAATGACAAAATCCAACGATAAAAAAAAAAACAAATTCAGAAGTAACTAGATACTATTTAATGAGCAGAACAAGTGTTCAGTCTGACACGAACAAATACTTACCTGGGAATTGTTGGGTTTCTCCAAAAAGCCTGGAGGTGAAAAAAGTTTTGGGAAGTGTTATTTTATTTAATTGCAGGTATCTTTTACTCCATTCAACATCAGTAGTTTCTACAACTAAGTGTTAATTGCAAGTATTATTTCATCAAAAGTATGATACCTAACATTCAATTTACTTCATCATACAGCATTTGTATTAGTGTACAAGAAATGGACAATGCATAGTTCTCATCATGCACTTTGGATTTAAAAAATAATCATCACAGAACTAGGACAATTTGTGTAAGGCAATAAGGTCATGCTTATTAACAAAACAAGATCAAAATATTTAGTCCTTTTGAGGAGATGAATCATGCTTTCTAAAAGGATTATTTCAAAATCCAAAGCTGGTCTGCTGTAACAAATGATCATAAAGCAGTCAACAGCACTACGACTGTGATTATCCTACAAGGGCCTAATGTGGAGTATCTTCTTTTCCATTGATGGGACAGAGAAAGCACAGTTGCAGACACAGAAACCTCATACACATCTAATTCATTGAGGTAAAAATCAAGCTAGTTCTCATCAGATTGTTCTGGTTTAGCTTGCAAGGAAACAGAAGAAAAGAAAATGTTGTTTGGTTGTAACCTACATTTATAACAGTTTCCAAACACCTTTTTTAAAATTTTTCTCCAACATAAATAATTCCCAAACCCACACAATCTAGCAGTCCACCTATATTTCTGAAATCCTCTGCTTTGGTCATCTTACAGTTTGAGTCTTCTCATGAAAGTAGTATATGAAATATTACTAAGAATAGCTCCACGGCAAAATTTTTATATTTAAAAAAAAAAAAAAAAAGTAAAAAATAACAGTATTTGATTTCCGTAAACTTGGTGGTCTAGCAGTATGGAAATACCTTAGAAAGATTACCATAATCACCTTTCACACTGATTTTAAATTTTCTTAGTAGAATCGTACACAGCAAATTTCTGTGACAACCACTCAACAATTATATTTACAATCTCCCAAGAGCTTGTATTGTTTTGCTCCCAGCTTACTAAACTAAAACCGGATTAGCTTCTTCAGCTATCCTACTGTACCTATACTACCAGTAGGATTGACAAACCATTTGTTAAAGAAGAAATCCTTCAGAAAGGAGTTCTATCCCATTAGCAAAACTTCCCTGCTTTCCTATGCTCAAGAGACAGTGTCACAAACTACAAGTAGAAACCCTTAGCAACAAAACCTGAACTTTTAGTCACATTTTAGCTCCTAGGCAAAGCACAACAGAAAGCTATCAAAAATTAAGCTAGGGAAAAAAATGCTTATCCAGATCATAGCTTTCTTCTGCTGCATTATCATCTGAGCATGTTTAAATATTCAAACAGATCATTCCTAAACCACATACACTTTCATCACTATGCAACAAGAACCTGAATCAAAAAAAATACAAACGTGCCCAAAGAACACAGACAATGCAAACAAAACAACTTCCTTTACAAGCTGGCTAGCAAGGGCTGCGATAATTGGTGTTAATTAACAAACACTAAGCACTTCACTGCTACAGTGCACACCCACACAACAGCATTCCTAAGGCAGACACTGATAGAGGTTCACTTTTGCCTATAAATGCTTACAGAAGAACATTTAGTCCACCAAGAAGTTACCATTGTCGTGTTCCCCTGAAACAATCTGTGAGCATGCTCCATATCTGTCTGCATCTGGGAGCAACACACTGGATGATACTTTTCTTGGACTTTCAGAATCCGTCTGTATAATCTAAAACACATGCATGAGAATTGGTACAAATGCATTTCCAACTCATTTCTGTGCAAAAAGCTCCTGCTAAGTCAACTTGCATAGCATGGTATCAAGTTTATCAGATACAAAATCCTTTAAGATCCTCAGAAAGGACACATCAAGACATAGCATATTGGAAAATCACAGTAGTTGTGTGTTTTTTCAGATCTGAGGCAAAAACCTCACAACTCATCTCAACTATTCTGTCACGCTCATAAAGCCTGACAAACTATACAGCCACAAAAGAGAATTAACGTAGTAACTCAAGATGTGAGTTGTGAAACAATAACTGCAGGTCTATGGTGATCCAACTTTTGTACTGAACTTGTATCTGATACTCAAGTTTGTGCTTGTGTTCCCCAGGCATGTATCCTGCAGTGGTGAGTGAACACATCGCTACTTCCAATTGCAAGGGCAATTTGGGTTGAACAAAGACTAGCAAGGTAAAGCTTACAGAAACTAGAGCTACCTAAAAAAATAAAAATTAAATTAAAAATTAAAATTTCAGTCTTTAAGAAGTAGGTGGGGAAGAGTTTGTTTTCCTTCACAAGAAAAGCCAGAGGGGGTTAGCTACAGACCCTGCTTATTTTCTTCTAGCCCATTATCACAGACAGCAAGAACTAAAAGGGCAAACACTGCCAGCATGTGTGGTATCTCTGCTGAACGTGACTTTTTTTGAAAGTACGCCTACAAAAGGTAGAGAGGATCTATTCAGAAGCAGCTAACCGTCTAGGCTGTAGACCCTAAGTGCAACCACTGACCAGGTCAGCAGAATAGAACTGTGTGGTGAAAAAGCAACAATCCTGCCAGCCCCTGTGAAAAGCTCAGAGTATTTTAAGCAGCAAGAAACTTCATTGCTTCAATACTATATTAGAAACTAAACTTAAAGGCCAGTTGTTATAAGACGGATGTTGTTATGCTTGGCTTAGCTTCATCCCAATCCTAACTGAACAGCTGGCCTAGAGCAGATGTATTTCAAGGGCCCCCAGTTATAAATATATAGCAGAAGCAGGAAAAGAGGAAGCAAGCCTCATTGATGGTTGGGCTGGAGTCAAAACCAAGCTCTCAAGTGCTTCTGGATCTTACTCCTACTCTCCCTGCACTCCCCCCAGCGGGAACCCTTCTGTCCTTCACAGAAAGTACCTCAGAATCCCAGGGAGATTCAGCATCTTCCTCTTCCTCTGCTCCCGCTGCTGGCAGGGCACCTACAAACAAGGTAAGAAGTGAGCCACTGAGTGTTTATATTTCACTCTGCTTTTTCCCCATTAGTCAAGCCCTGCATCCAAAAGATGCGCACTGATTCTATCGCTGAGGACAAACTAAGTAAATGTTATTCAAGCATTTCTTCACAGCCAGCCACATCATGTTAATTCCTTTACATTTCCACCTCCTCTTGCCTCCTTTCCAGCAGAAGATGGCTATGCACAACAGTTGACACAACTACAGGCAACACTCAACACGTTTGGGTAGCATTCAGGAAAAGACTCCAGCACACTACAGTCCTGTGGTACACAAGAGTTTAAGTCACCTGCTCTCCAGCCTACAGCTTCAGAATTTGTCATTTACTACCAGCTTCCACTGTACTAGAGGTACTGTAGAAACACTATCCAAAACATCCTCATGCTAACATCACTAAAGTCACCAAGAAACAATGTTCCTTTTGTAGAGCTACCAGGAAAGATCTTCTGCAGCAGAGAGTTGTTACCCTGTACCTTCCCAGAAGCTAGATACCTAAGCATCGCCATTTGAAAACAGAGCAGAAGCTCACAGCTCAAACACTCACCCCAAACACACAAAAGCCGTTTCTACCTCAGGGGGTTAACATCTCAATCTCTTCTCTACCAGATGAACGTAAGATTCCGTCTCAGTGGGTTCCTGGCCAGATTAGACTATCTTCTTTTCTCTCTTTTAAGCTACTCCATTAGGTAAAACCGATTCAGGATTCACTCGTGTGGAGACATGCACATAAAGAAGGGGGAAGGACCAGTGAGGGAATCCATCCCAGAAGAGGGCAGCTGCTGGTTCCAGCCTCAACTCTGGCTACTTACACTATGCTAAACACATACTTACGGTAAGATGCATGGAGACAGAAGATCATGCATAGGCACAACACTTGAATACAGCAGGTTCTGCCAGCCCCCCTGTCTAGCATTTGATCACCAGCTACACGTGCTCTGGTAACATCTATCACACCAAGCTACTCTCTGGAGACAGACAATGAAAACGGTGCCTTCTCCTCCTGCTCTGAAACCTGAGGTGAGTACCAAAGTCCTCAACTCTGAGCTGGTAATGCTTTCAAGCACACATAAGTGTGGCACTAGATGGACCTACATTTTAAAACTGGACAAGATGAGGCACTAGAACAGAACAGCTTTCTCTCAGTTTGACTCAAATCTTTCCCATGCTTCAGTCAAGAGCAATCAGAGCTTTTCAATCAAACAGTACAGGCCATAAAGGGGAATACTACTGTCACACCCAAGACACTCTAGTCCTTCTCTTTTTCATCTCCTCATTTTTCTCAGATCACTTCAGGGAGAACACAGCAACAAAAGCAAGAATGGCACTTGCTTCATATAGCATCATTTGGAATCCAACACCATAGTTTCAGTTCTTCAAGAATGAATGAAAAGGAACAAAAGCTGCTTTCCTTCTCTGCTAACGCCCACTGGGATTCACAGGCAAGGGAAAATTTTGCTGTATCAGAAGTCAATCACCATGTTAGTTCATTTACTGTGCATTAATATTTATAGAGGAAGAATTGGGATCAGTATTTTACTAACTCATTTCTCTCACCAGCATTGCCTTTTGAAGCATCGTGGACTTGATGGCTATCATTACAAATAGAATTTTTCACACTCTCAACAACTGCAGTTTGTTGCTCTTCACCAGTATCTCTCTTCTCCTGCTCCTTCTCTTCTTCCTGTTCAGATGATTCTTCCTAAAAGAGATTGACCAAAACAGCTGGAAAGATCAGATCCATCAACTTGAAAAATACTTTTCTTGTGTAAGACAAAGGGGAAACTTTGTTGAGCTTTGTTTTACAAGGTCTTCAGGTTTTCCACAGGAATATATATGATCAGACAGCAGTGCCTAATGTCGTAAGTCTCACCCCTGCTTCTGCAAAGCCCTTGAGAAGCACTTCCTCATGTCAGTCTAACACTAGCTTCATTTAAGTTACATCATTCTGAAACACATTCCTTCTTTTCCCCTACTCTGCTCCAAGGAACACCACTAGCTTCCTGCTCTCAATCTTATTCAAACTTCATTTTGTTTCTTCACTTTCAGCCATGAATTTTATTAAATGGCACTAAATCTTCACAGATAAGATCTGTACATACAACTGAGAAAAATTTAATTGATTCCAGAAAAAGTCTACTGCCTGTTCTTTTTCCTGCAAAACCACTGTAACCAATAGAAAAAAAAATACTGATAATACTGCCTGATGCTATTCTTCTAGCCAAAGCAATTTCTTAGGTATAAGACATTTTCTAATATCAAAAAGGGATTAACAAGAGATAGATATATGTGAAGGACAAGTATTAACAGAAATCCAGTTTACCATTTGTTTCTTTCTTATATTACCTTTAGAAAATTCCCTTGTGATTGAATCATCCCTATATACTTACTTCGGTGCTCAAATGAAATGCTGTTCTTAAATTTTCTTCATGCCTATTTGAGCGGAAGCTTTCACATTCTTGCTTCAGTGCTCCACAGACTTTATTATCTACGTCTTCATATTGCTCTTCTTCAGTGTCTTCACCACCTACATGTTCAAGAACAACAGAGTTTGGGTTTTGACTTTCAAGCCTTGTTTTTTTTGTAGCTGACCAAGAATCGTTACCACTTTCAAAGCCATCACTGAAGCTTGACTTTTTCTCCTTAAGACCATAGCTATCTGCGAGAGGCTGAGGTCTCTCTTTTTTCCAGTCTGTCATTTCAGAGTCTGCAAAACAGGAGTCAGCATTTTTGTGAAACTTCTCTTGAATCATGCTTTTCCTGTTCCAACTTTCTTGTGTATCTTGCAAATTATTCAGATTTTGAAAGACAGCTTGTTTTGGTATTGACTTGCAAGACACTTCATTGTTCATTTTCTTTGGAGACATGGCAGTTATATTTTCCTGCAACCTTTCATAACATCCAGCTATAAAAGACACAGGAGGATCAACAGATTCCTTCACCTTTTCATCAACTTCTTTACTTATTTTATTGTTATCACAGACATCTCCAGTTCCACACTGATCTTCCTCTTCATACTTAGTGTTACTAAAATACTCTAATTTCTGGTTAATTTCCCCTTTAGGTTCTGTTTTTTTCCCTTGCTCTTCCTCCAGTATGTCATTTGACTGACTTTCTTCATCTTCCAGATCTTCTTCCTCCTTTTCATCTTGAGTAAGATCTTCATCCTCCTCTTCTTCCTCTTCTTCTTCATAATCTTCCTCCTCATCTCCATTGTCATTTTCATCATCTTCCTCCTCCTCCAATTCTTCTTCCTCCAGGTTGCTTGCATCTGAGACATCTTGATTCAACGATTCTTCACATCCTCCTTTGTTCAGATTTGCATCTGATGGGGTTCTTTGTTTGAGGCTTTTCTTTGGTGACTTAGGACTTTCGATTCTAGAACCATCACCATCATCTTAAAGCACAAGAAAAAGAAAAATGCATGTGAACAAAATTTGTTATGTAAGTAGTAATAGGCATGTTATCAGATTAATGCACAGGAGAGAATTTATCTGGGAATGTCTGGAAAAGGAGCCAGGTAAGGGATGGACAGGATGGAAGAAGGATTTGACCAGGGACAGAGGCTTAGGAGGAATTAATATGTTCATTTTAATTATATTAGTCATTTCAGAAATAAAAAAAAAAAAAAAAAAAAAAAGTACTGTGTTTTCAAAATGCTACTTTTCTCATTTACTATAGCAAACGAACAAAAAAAATTATAAGAGAACCCCCAATATTTAACAAGTCTAATTTTATATATCAGTATATCATGCAATCTCTTCCAAATAGCTTACTGTTTTTCCTGAACTGCTGGGAAGCATTCATTAACAGTGTCAAGTTTGGCTTCTGGAGCTTCTGTAAATAAAGACTCATTTAAGCAAAAAAAATATATATTTTTTTTAAACATTAACAACAACAAATCCTTTGTTCACATCAAATCTTGAACAGTCTGTCCTTCTGATAGTACCCAGGTGCTGGCTCCATCCTATGCTTCTAACTACACAAGCACTCCTCACATGCACAATTCAATGAGTATTTCACCTTAAAATACACTGCAGGCACCCTTCTGCAAATTGTTTCCAAAACTATGTTTACATGCATAACAGTTCTAAAAATCTGTTTTTAAAATCTGTAATACTTAAGTTAAATTCGGCCATGTTTAAGACCACAGTTTCAGGATGCTTACTTGCAAATGTGTGCAACGCAAGTAACTATTAAGATGCCTAGACTTAATGCATAAATTAGTCCCTGCAAGTACACGTTCCAAAATATCCCTAAATTTCAAAATCAAGACAGAAAAATGCATCATTTCTATTTAAATCAGTGCAAGAAAATTAAATCATATTAAACCCAAACATGCTTGCATCTCCAGCATTAGAGTGGGTTGAACTACTACACTCAGGTTCCTCATCACTGCAGAATCCCAGCGCAACAGAGTAGATGCTCCAGACATCACTGCAGAAATTGATAATTCTTCAGAACATTAGTAAAAACAGTAGACATGAGAGCTTGTAGCTGACAAAAAGAATACTACCTGAGCATTCAAAAAAGAGGGAAAACATGCAGTGTGAAATTACATGCAAGCATGGAATGCTATCTCAGAGAAGAAAAAAGACGACCCATTTGAATAACTCGTCTGCTGAGTGCTCCTGAGGAACCTGACAAGGAGGAAAGGAGAACTAGGTGATGAAGGATTTCAGTAGATCTTGATAAATTAATGCCCTTTTTCTTTATCAGTTAGGATTCTATCAGCAAATTTACAGGAAACAATGTTTGAAGAACAGAATAGGTTATAATAGTAAATTATGAACTTTCAGGGTCTGTAAATCTGACTCAAATAAACAATAAGAAATAAAACAATGTGGTTGTTTATCTCGTCACCTGTTGCTCTTTTGCCCCAAACCACAAATCTACTGCATGCTCTGTCACAGATACAGGTGGTTTTGGAAAAACTCACAGCAGAAGAAAGACTGGCAGGCCAGAGACTGCTTCTAAGGAGAAAACAATATTGGCTGGAACTGCAGTTTCTTTCAATCCCACAGAAAACTTGCCTTCAAATCACTTAATTTTACAGGACATTTTTCCTGTAAACACACCATACCTTGGGGGTAAAATCAAGTTCTTCTTCCTCAGAAGTATGCCAACTGTCATCACTCCCCTCTTTCTCAGAGCTTCTTAAAAAGCAAAGCAAAATGAGTACTGTGTCTCTCAAATCACTCCTTAAGTAAGTGGTTAGTATTTTTAAAGTCTCACCTTATTGAGTCTCCTTGGGAAAAGTCATCTATTGCTGTACAAACATTAATTGATATGTTGAAATTAGACTTGGCATGCTAAAAATTAACCAATACATATACGTTTAACATGGACAGCTCTACAGGTCATAACAGACTGAACTTCAGGTAGTCAATTCAACACAAGACAGCACAAATGAATGCATTTCTACAACAACTGCTTTTGAAAGCCAGACTGAACTAAAAAAAAAAAAAACAAAAAACAATCAAACAAACAAAAAAAAGACCAGACTTGTATCTCTGTATCTTTGGACTCTTATACCTAGAATTTTAAGAAACATCCCTAAACTAACAAAAATAACATAGTGTGAATATGTTACGATAGTAAACAGTTAACAAAATGGTGGTGGTTTAGCAAGACAAGTAAACAAATCTCCAAAGTTCTCGTATTACACACATGAGTACACATCACATGCAGAGATTTTATTATTTTATGTAAGATTATGCTATATACTACATTATATGCTGCTTCATCCAGTTACAGATAATTTTGAAAAGGTAAAGAAAAATCAAAAAGTATAATCCAGATGTAAAGCTTCTCCTCAGGTAGAAGAATCACCAGTTCTCTGCACTGCACCAAAAAGGGTATTCCACGGATGAAAAGGGCATATTACACTTCAAGCTTCAGTCAGTGTTATGAAGGCAACTTGCATATAGGATCATAGGATAAATCAGGTCAGAAGGGACCTCGGGAAGTGTCTTAGCAAACTGCCTCCTCAAAGCAGGCTCAGCCATGAGGTCAGATAAGGTTGCTTAGGGCATTATCCAGTTCGGTCTCAAATAGCTCCAAGGAGGAAGACTGTACAACCTCTCTGTTTTACTGTCCTTATTGTGGTGAAGCTTCTCACATCCAGTGGGAAACTCTCATTTCCATTTATGCCTCTTGTATCTCAGCCTCCTGTCATGCACCACTAGGAAGCATCTGGCTTTGTCTTCTCCTCAATACATAGTGGAAGCTGACTTCAAAGTCACCTCTTCTCTAGGCTGAACAAGCAGTTTCCTCAGACTCTCCTCAAAGGGCAAGTACCCTGATGAGTTTGATGGCCCCCCGCAGGACTCACTGTTGAAAGACCAGTCTCTCTTACACTAAGGGCTCAAAATTATGCCCGGGGAGCTGGACACAATCCAGCAAGTGCCAAGTAGGGGTGGACAATCACTTCCCTCAATCTCTTGGCTATGCTGCTCTTAATAAAGCCCAGGATACCGTTGACCTTCTCAGCTGCCAAGGCACCACGCTGGCTCATTCTCAGCTCACTCTTTGCCAAGGCTCTCTGGGCCTTCTCAGCAAAGCAGGTCTCCAGCCAGGCAGCCCCAGCATGTTTTATGTCAAGTGGTCGCTCCTTTCCATGGGCAAGACTTAGCATTTGCCCTTGCTGAATTTTGTAAGGCAGGCCTGACAGTCCATTTACCCAGCTTGTCAATGTCTCTCTGAATGACAGTGCCGCTCTGAAGCATGTTTACTGATCCCCCCAATTTGGGGACATTTGCAAACTTGATGAGAGTGCACTCTAGCTCATCACTGATGTACTAAAGAAATCTGAACTCCAGGAATCCAGCCAGAAGAGCGCTAAAACCTCTCAACTATCAACAACTAAGATGAAATAAAAGGGCTCTTCAATTTCCAAGAAAGAAATGAAAAAACAAACAAATATAACCTCCAAATAATAGCTATTTCAGCATTCTACTCTTGACAGGTGCCTTCAGCTGTATTTTCAATTACTACAGTTATAATTAATCAAGCCAGCTGAGTAAGTGATCTGAACTTTTGCTTTCAATGTATAATAACTTTAAGTAATGATCAAATCCAGGTCATACTGTCCTTTAGAAGGCAAAACAAAGTTCATGAGCTATCTTTCAGACAGACCTTGATGCCCTACCATAGAAATGGGATCTAGAAATGCAGTCTCTGGGGATTGCTTGTTTCTACTTTAATTTAAGTCCATTTCTATTTTGGAGTTAGAGAATAGAATATTTTTCAAAAAGTTATTTACTATTAATAATGAAACAAAGCAAACACTCAATCCAATAATAAAGGACCCACGCAAAACATGCAAGCAAATAAAAAGCACCCAGAGTCTGCTTTTAAATCTAATTTCTAAAATCAAAACCATCAAAATAGGGACCTCTCAGGATAATAAACATCATAGATGTGTTAGTATTTGTACATTGTACAACATATCTCATATTTTAAATGCTATATAGAATACCTTTCCTTGATTTTCCTGTTCTTGATGTCAGGTTAGGAGATTGTTGCATTCCTATATCCATTTAGGAAAAGGCATGGAAAGGACAGATGAAACAATGACAGAATAAATTACAATTCCCAGAAATTTGGAAAACATAAGCAGTACATCAACAAAGCTATAGCAATGAGAGAATGTACTGTGACTACTAGCCTACTCTACAGTTAAGTGCTATAAACAAAACAAATCACAATCTGCAGAACTCTACACTCAAGTGACAGTGTCAAACAGTGTAACTTAATTTACTTGCTCCATGTAAAATACCATATTCCAATATTGTGAAACACAGAAACAGATTATCAGAAATTTATTCCATTGCTAATTTTATATTTCTCTCAACTTCACCAGTCCTCATCTAGCACAGATGGCAAATGCAATTCCCTCATATTTGTAGAATGCTTTATACATACAGCACACTCAAAATCTCTGCCTCTAAATATCCCAAAAATAACTAGGTGCCAACAACTAAACTTTGGAGATACCCTATCCAGAAATTTTGAAGGAAATCTTGGCTCTTGGTACTCATACCACCATGCAACTTTGAGCCATTATGTTATTTACACTCACTCATTTCAAGTTAGTTACAGCATGTTTGTTATCTCTCACTGAAAAAGCAACCCAGAAACTTGTTGCCTTAAACCATCTCACCTTAAAAGTTGTGTCAGTTGGTGCCCGATGCAAACATAGGCCCCTCCTGCCTCAGTTTAAAGATATGAGAGTCTTGCTTATATTGATTTGACCATGTTCACACACAGAAGCTATGCCACCAGCTGTAATGTAGACATGACAAGCAGGCAGAATGTTCCCCCAGGGCTATAGGGCAGACCACAACTGGACCAAAATGGGTGCACTGACTGGTATGAGTGTCATGCATGTGTGCTTGTATGCATGTCTGTGTTGTGGAACGTAAGTTTTAGAATATAAATCATTATTCACCTGCTCTACCATCATACTTAGTAAAATTCTATATTTTAAGTCAATGAATGGTGTGTTCTGTTACTGCAGCTACATGACACCATATTTTTTTCTGAAAAGGTCGTAACATTTGTCTCAGAGCAGAAGGGAGTCCTGCTTATATTGATTTTACCACAAATACATGGAATGGATGTGGCAAAAGCACTTCTATCAAAAATATACACTTAAAGAGTTAAGAAAGGACCTCAGGATAGTTTCCCACCCCTTCCTTATTCTCAGTTTTCTTAAAAAGTAATACAGGACAACTTTTCCTGACCTCAGGAGATATAAATCAAACTGAAGCACTCATTCATTTTCCAAGAGCTCTACGATGAAAAACTAAGTTTCTGTAGGAACTTGGGGAAACACTGAAGGAACAATACATTAATATTCAGTGCCAGAGCTGGAAAAAAAAAAAAAACTGTCATTGCAGACATAATAGAATCTGAATTCTTGCCTTTAGAAAAATTGCATAATTATTATTTTTTGGCGTAGAAATTCCAACTTCGTCTCTAGAGTCAATAGTTCAATATACTAAGGCTGGAAACCATTAATTTGGAGATTTTTGCAAACCTATCTGTGATTAATAAAAAGGTTCATGTTCTGACAAAAAGTAAACATTCAAATAAGCAAGAGCCAATGTCTTACATATGCTGCCTAGAGAAAAATATTTTGAAGAATGCTTAACAAATGCAAAAGCAGCAAAAGGAATGATAACATTGAAGATTCCAGAAAAATAGTACAGAAGAGTAAAAAAGAAAAGAATTCCAAAGCTGATGTTTCTCTGGTCTCTCAAGATCATCCCAACTTCTCCTCTAACAGAAGCTTCAAAGCCGGTTGCTGCAGCGCATCAAAGGGACTCTCATGATGCAAGACCTGTGCTTTGTGGGTGCAAGCCAGAGACCGCAGAATTAATACCAATAAATGTTCCCTATATGCTACTAATTTCTCTTGCTTAACACGCTGGGGTCATCTTTTAAGGGACTGAGCACAAGGAGAAAAAGATTCATACTACTCAGGAGAAAAACAAGCCCTACTAGAAACAGACTGAGAACAGTGTACACTCTTTCTACTCCCAAGTCCTTAACCAACGTAACATTCTCTTCACACTTCCTATGCCTCTTCAAATGAAGATAAGTAAAGATTTCCCATAACATCGGGGACTTATAGTAGTAGCATCATTTTTCCAAGGAAAGGGGCAAATCTTTTGGTTTGAGAACCCGTATTTCCCTGAGGGTATGTTAGTTTTGGAATAACACAACAGTATTATTCTTCAAGACACCTGTTTTAAAGTAACGCAGGCCTGTCAGCCAGTACAATGTGGTACCACAGCAATTCTCTGCATGAACAGGAGGCAGTAAGAGAGTTACTGTTGCTTGGGTGAAAGTAACATTCTGCTGATCAAACTACCTGTACCAAGCCCTTTTTGGGAAAACAAAACAAAAAAAAAAACCCAAAACAACAAAAACCTCTTCCTTCAATTTATCAAGAAACTTTACAAGTCTCCAGCTGGATCAAAGCAACTGTTCCCAAGTCAAAGGAAGAATGTTTGGCTCTAAATTAAATTCCTGTATTTGTGAAATGTCAATGAGGAAAAATATCCCATGCTTTGCTCATATTTGTTGACAAATTTAAAAGAGGAGTAATGAACTGTGTTTGAACACTGCTGCCAATTTTCCACATAGCTCTGATATAACACACTTTAAAAAAACAGAAAAAATAAAACGTCTCACTATAGGGCCTGACATGTAAAGTACAGGACAAACAATTTCATTTATAATAAGACATTAATTTTCTAAGATTCCTCTAGGGTTATTTGAGCTCATAAGCATAGACTGGATTTTAAAAACTCACTGAAGGAGTTAATTTTTTGATCACAAGGCAATTTATTTGTTTTTCTGCATCACAATTTCCCAAAATTACTGACAGTGGAAGAAAATCATCTTTTTTATTGTAAATCAAACTATGTCCAAGAAGATACAGGATACACAGACGCTGCATTGTTGTTGCTAACGAAGTTACTCTTCCAAGACAATTTTTCCTAAATATGTCTCTACAGCACTGACACAGAAACAATTGTAACTGATGCTGAGAAACAAGATGACTCACTAGGAGGAGCTCAGTGCAGGTGAAACTATTAATATTAAACAGACACACAAACTCAGTGCAAATCAACAAGACATGCATCTTCCTGCTAATTCACCTGTTGCTTCCCAACTACAGAAAGGTGAAAAACTACTCAGGATGAACCTACTAATTTTGCAATTCAATTTTCAAAATCCGAATGGCCATCTGTAGATAAAAGTGTAGACCTGAAGAACAAAAACACTCTCACCTAGTTCCTTCCCTGTCCTCCTTCTCTCTCTATAGGAAAACATATGTAGATGAGCAATCTGACAGGCAGAAGGCAACAACCCTGTAAGTGGACATGTAGCACACAAATCACAATTGCCTTCACAGCCTGACAAGAAGCACCTCCAGCTAGCAACAAATAAGCACATTTACAAAACTTCTTGCGCTACTCCATCTGATGCCTCCACTAAAGTCAGTGGTGAACACAGTAGGCATCAACATTATGAACCACCTAAAGAAAAGGCCACAGTGATTTTCCTCATGAGCTCCTCCACAGTTAAGGATCCTACCTCCTCTGTCCACAGCAGGGGCACCCAGTGTAAAGCCAGCAGCTCCTGCCCGGTGAGGAGTGCTAAGTACCACGATGCTTTGTGCACCACCTGCAGAAGCTTCTCCTGTGTTTTCCCAGTCTGCGTATTCTGCCAGTTGTTTACTAAGACTATATAGAGAAAGAAAGGAAATATATTTGGTAAAAATAATCTGTACCATTTCACAGAACGGTTAACAATCACTTAATATCCACCCTACACATATTCACAGCCATATGCATTCATATACTCCTATGTATTCACTAAGGGCAATACAGAACTTACTGCATGACTATTACATACTTCAGTATTCACTACAGTCACATGCATTCTACAGATGCATATTTGTACCTACAAGGTTGTTAACTCCTGCTTGGTACATTTTTTCCAGCCTAGCTTTTAAGCACACATAACCACCCTAGAGAAGGAACACCCCACAGGTACAAAGCTATGCATAAGAGGAGTAAAACTGCTTAGGATTTTAACAAAAGGAATATCAGTTACATCTCCTCTGAAACAAAAGGCTGGTAGTTCCTCATCATTGAAGTGGAAGTCAGTAAGGAGAGTGGTGCTGGTCTGGGGAGAGGGTTTACATGCATTTCAGATTGCTAAGTTCCACCTCTGGATAACTGTAGGGTACAGACACTTTTTAAAGTTTATATTGGGCAGATGTGAGTTTAGCAACAAAACCTGAAATCTAACAGGTAAATCTGAGTGGAAATTTTCCTTAACCTCCAAATTAACGCTAGACACAGGAACAATCCATATCAGAAGACATCACTGAGCACAGCTTCAAGACAGGTCTCAACACAGCATTAAACCTCGGTGCCATTGCCAAAAATGTACTAAAGCCACTCTGATAACTGACAACTTATTCTAATGATAAAGTTAAAAATTTACCTAGAATATCCATGGATAACAGCATAATCCTCAGCTGTCCATCCATTAGTGTCTTTATGGGAAACATCAGCACCATATCGAAGAAGAACTTTTACCAAATTAAGCTCCCCACCAGAAGCAGCAGTCATAAGTGGGGTTCTGAAACATCCAAAAATATGATATGAAATAGATCATTTTACACAGACACTGTAATTATTTTTACTCCCATTTTCTCTTAAAAAAAGTATTTTCCCCCTTTACTTTAAAATAAAAGAAAGAAAAAGCAGTTTTCATGCAGTATTAAGAACAATAAAATAAGAGAGGAAGACAAGATAATTAAATGTTCAACCTTCAGACAGAGCTTCCACATAGACAACACTTACATACAAACTATGCTGCTATACCAGAGATGGTTTTTCAAATTGAGGCAACACTGCTGAGCTAACAGCACATTCCCTGCCAGAAGGGCCATCACAGACAGTGCCTTCTTGCAATCCTCAGTGCAGAAAGCATCCACTGAGGTATGACAGCAGCCAAGTGCAGACTTGCTTTCATAAGTCACACAGAAATAGCTCCATCTGTGTGGCTCCTTGTTTTTTTTTTTTTTTCCGGAGCTCATTCCCACACCTCTCATCAATGCACCCTAAAGAATACTAAAGAGTATTTGTAGAGTTTTGACAAACCCCTCACCTTTCACACTGATCTCGAGCATGCACATTAGCTCCTTTTTTAAGCAGAAACTCTACTATCTCTTCATGACGTTCAGAGACAGCAAGAATAAGCGGGGTATATCCCTCCTGAAAGGGCAGATAAATAAATCAAGTTTTAAAAAAAAAAAAAAGAAATCAAAGTAAAAAAACCCTTCAAGAGAAATATTAATGCAACTTTTTGAAGGAATTTCCTTAACAAGTATAAAAATCTACCTTATTCTGGGCATCAATGTTGGTATTATGCTCAAGTAACAGCCCCGCTACAGCTGTGTTAGGAGATAGGACAGCCAGGTGAAGGGCAGTGTTGCCATCAGCATCTGCCAGATTTGGGTCAGCACCATGCTCTAGCAGAACAGCCACACATTCTTCTTGCTGGCACTGTACTGCCTGGAAACAACACAGAAAAAAGGAAAAACTTCCAGCATTTACATTTCACTCTGTTATAATTCCACCAGCCTCCTGATGCTGGAGAATTCTATCTTCAGAGATTAGCTAACATATGTCTATTCCATGCCAGTCACAATATGCATGTTTCTACACAGATCTATGTAAAGCATCCTGCACGATACATAATTAAGTGCATAATCAATAAACCCCACTTACAAGAACATAATACATTCCACATACCTTCATCAGTGGCGATCTGTTATCGTTGTCAAAAAGATTTAGCTTACACTTGTTTTCTACTAGATACGTAACAACATCCACATGGCCACTTGCACAAGCGAGATGCAGAGCTGTCCTAAAAGTTAAATATATTAAATTAGCACAGACAGACAACAAGAAAAATCATCTCAGGCTGTGATAAATGGATATGACCACAGGTTTCACTTTGCAAAAAGCAAGATTAAGAAAAGATTTCCCATTCTATTACCAGTATCAGCAGTTGCACACCAAATGCCTAAGGCTGGCCAGCAAACACCCTCCACAACATCCACTTGATAAGGTGACATTTCCTGCAGCTGTAGAACTGAATCTGCAGAAACAGATTCCTGTGCCCAGGCATCCGTCACTGCTTCCTGCAAGACTACATGCATGGCACAGCACCACAAGCCAAAGCCTGGGAATCTGAGGGCTATGGCAAGCAAATCTCTAAATTCTTCTATGATCATTCATGTGCCAGAAGTGTATTGGAGATGTGGGAGATGGGGTTTATAGCAAGAGTATTAGAGCTTCCCTGCACTTTGAGAAATTCTGCTTTTCCTCCAGCTTGCTTGCTACTGCAGCAAAAACAAGACCAGGCTTGCACCAAGCCCCTCTGATAATATGTAGCAAACCAGACAGCAGAACACTGTAATCCTAACTAAAGGAAAGTAGTATTTAACCTTCCTGACATATATAACTACCATAGTGATAAAAAAACAGCTACAGAGGAAGTCCTTTCCGAGGAGGGAATACTGTCTTTCCACAATACATGACTAGCATAAGAAAATGCAACATTTTCAAGTTATAGCCTTGTTAGAAGGAAAAGGGCTCCTTCAAACCACAGAACATCTTCGGTCTGATGTGAATTAATCAGCCTACTTATACCCAAGGACACAATCACCCAGAAAGTCCTTGCATGTGTTTCCTCCTAAGTCACAGGCACAAAGCAGCACAAGCTCCACTGTGCAGAAGGCAAAGTGCCTGCTGCTCTGCAGGACTCCTGCCCCAACACAGCAGGAGACAAGCTAATAAACAGCCAGGACCTTCCTCCCTTGAAGGGGAGGGAATAGAAGTCCTGCAGTTCCTCAAGAACTGAGGGGAATGCCAGCACTAGTTTTGAACCACTCCACTACAAGTAGGTCCTTCTCTGTATTTAGGAAAGCTCAACTGTCCTTGCGATTGTTTCAGTATCTTGCTGAGAGACAGAAGCAAAAGGGCTCACTGGCTAGATTGGAATGGAAAGGTACACAAATGCAGCAGCACATGATGCAGAAACACAGCAATCTGTAATGCAGATACTTCTTGTTACAGGGAAGCTGATGAGCCTCCTCTGTGACAACAAGGATGAGAACAAGAAAAACATTAAAAACATTATAAATTCTTTGAAGTTGTGTCTTACAGATGGGGAACAGACTGAAGCATCAAGAGAAGAGTCCCTCAAGAGCAACTACCACCACTTTTTGAGAAATTCCCATGTAAGTACATAGGATCCTTCATCTCTGGAGAAAAGACTGAGATTATCTGAAAGCTAACCAGGACTGGTTATGAAAGAATCCACCATCATCTAAAAGCTGCTACTACCAAGCACTAGGAAACATAACAAAACTATCAGTTTTGCAAACAAAAAAGCCTTCAGAAAACCTGCAGACTTGTTGTTGCCCTCCTCAACCAAGTCTCTCAGTCTGCCAACAGGAAAGGAGATGGCTCTGCTTGGAGCATGGCCTGCTGATCAACAGAAGATCCACTTCAGGGAACAGGTTGGCAGAGAACATCAGAGTGGTCACCCTTGCCTGTCTCCACAAGAGGCCTTCAGTAACACCAAAGCTGTTCTGCCACACAGCCCTGGGGATACTGCCCAAACTCTTTTCCTCCTGCTGCTGCAATCCTATGCTGACCAACCACAGGGTAGGAGAGGACTGTTGATGCCTGAGCAGCTGCAAAACCACCCCACTGGGAGCCCACAGGGGAACAGCAGGTCAGCGGCACGCACTTCCAACAGCATTTGAGCCAACAACCCAGCAGCTACAAGCTAAGCAATTAAAAGCTTTAGAGTTCACTCCGACAGGCAGCTGAGAGGGTAAATCTCTCTTAGTGATTAGCTTTGACCCAGGATTCATGATGAGCTGTCATCGTGCCTACAGTGCATCCAACTCTGTGCTGAGTTTTGCCCATTTCTTTCAGCAAGGCTGAAGGCTTTGCTAGACCACCTCTGAAAAGCTGCCTGTTCCCAACTGATGCTGCTCCAAGCACATTTCTGGGGAGGTCCTATGGGCTACAGGACCCATTTCATGGAAGAAGCATGTAGGTGCGATACTTGCCATGTCTCTGGTGTAGGATTTTGCTTTTGGAAATCCTGAAGAGCAGAAGAGATACAAACAGTGCATATACTTTAGCCATTATGTCCCACATTTCCTATTATTCACTTCTATTTCCAACGATGTTAACTTTTCCAGTCTCTGCGGGACTCAATGAAGCTCTGAAACACAGCTGCATCTGGTGGTCACTCAGGACACACATGACACCCACACACACTAAGAGGGCATCGGTAGGCCTGCAATCCTCACAGTTGGTATAGTGTACAGGGGCTGAAGCAAGCAGGCAGACTGTCCACTGAATCCCTTTCATGGAAGCTTTTCAGCACAGGGCATTGTCATGCCAAAACCATCACAGTGCTCTACTGTACATACACTGCCTTGTCTTTTTTTTTTTTAAGTGTTACTTTATTTGCCCAGTTGTAACACTGATAATAGCATGACACACATGAGGAAACCCTTCCAGAGGAAACAAAGCTTTCTAGACAAGATGAACTTAAAATGCAAAATCTAGCCAAATTTCATACCAGGGTCTGCTAAGACCTGATGAGTGACTGAATCAGCCATAGTGAAAAAGAAGAGGAGAAACATTCATCAGCTATTTCCATAAATGCCATTGGGCACCTTGACTGAGGCAGCTGGAATGTGCACAAAACGCACTCAATCCACCTTAAACTGCACCCCCCCATCTCCAGCTGCATAAACAAATACTGAGTGGAAACACTCAGGCACACAACCCACATTGCTAAAGTGCATCCTTATTGTGCTCTTCCTTGCTTCTCCTACAGACCTAGGTGGTTTTAGATGTTTTCAGGACAATAAGCTACCTGGCTGGCAAAAGTCTAACCTCCAGACTAGACAGCCTAGGAAGCTGAGCTACTCTGATAAACCAGCATCTCTTCAGAATATCAGGCAGGTTTTGACTCCAAGACTTTTCAGAAAAGGCATTACAATGTTGATACATACAAGATGCAGAAATTTCAGCTGATTCCCTTATGCTTGCAACGGGTCACTAGGAGCTATGCTGCAGACCAGGGCTTCCCCTTAATTGCCAAACACTTGCTGTGCTTGACTCAAAACGCCACACAATAACACCTGCCAGAAGCAGCAGCTTCTGCAAGCTGCTGCCCAGATCTTCCAATCCAAAGTACTGATTAGCTATACCAAACCCTCAGAGCAAACAACTAAGTAAATGACACCTACAATCAGTGTTGCTTTGGCTGTCACATCACAGTCACAAAAGACACATCAGGCAACTGCGCACGCAGCATCAACAAACAGCACGTTTTTTCTGTGCTGTGACTTTTTCCTAACTGCAGTGCTTACCTCTCCTTAAGCTACCCCCAGCTGAGGCAGTTCAGCTTTCTCCGCTCAGCTACTAAACCTGGATGCTGAGCCCCCTGGGGTGCATGCGATTGTGCTTTGGCTTCAAAGCCTGGCTGGAGAACGGCCGTCAAGCTCCTTCCCCAGCTCACCTTTGTCAGGCTGCTGCCAGCTCCCGTCCACTCCCGGGCCCCCAGGCGAGGAAAGGCGAGGCCGGGAACGAGGGCACTGAGGAGGCCGGGGCAAAAAGGGTAAGGCAGGAGTTAGATGCTAGACGGAATTCAAGAGTTTCTGGCAGCACAAGCCTGAGATCCCTCCCCGTGCTGCCCCCCCCTTACCGCTCCGCCTTGTCCCGCCCGTCGATGCCGTACTTCTTCAGCCCCTGCCGCACCTGGGCCAGGTCGCCGCCGGCGGCCGCACGGTGCAGCTTGCTCAGGTCCTTCTGCCGGAGCTCGTAGGCACCGGCGGGGCAGGGCAGGGAGGCGCTGCCGGAGGGCGGCTGCCCCTTCCTCTTCCTCCCGAACCCGAAGATCCTCTTCATCCCGCGGCCGGGACGCGGGCACAGTCCCGCCCCAAGGGAGCGACAGCGGGAGACACCTGGCGGGCAGCGGCTTCGGCTCGGTGCGGCTGCTGCGGAGCGAAGGGCCGGGGCTCGCTCCGCCGGTGACAGCGGCGGCCCACGGCGCCCCGGCGTGCCGTGAGACAGCGAGCCCCGCACCGCCGCGGTGGGACGGGCCCGGTAGGCTGCGGGCCCGGTAGGCTGCAGGCCCGGGGAACGCGCGCGCATGCGCGGCCGCGGGAGGGCGGTGCTAGCGGGGCGCCTCAACGTCACGGGGGTGCTGGCGCGGGAGTCGTTCAGTGCTGGTGCTGGCCTCCTCCCTTGGGTGTGGGTGTGGGTGGGTGGTCGGTCGGTCGGTCGTGGGTGTGGGTGTGCGTGTGTGTGGTCGTGGGTGTGTGTGTGTGTGTGTGTGTGTGTGGGTGTGTGTGGTCGTGGGTGTGAGTGTGTGGGTGTGTGTGGTCGTGTGGGTGTGTGTGGTCGTGTGTGTGTGGGGGTGGGTGTGTGCGGGTGGGTATGTGCGTGTGTGTGTGTGTGTGTGCGTGCGTGTGTGTGTGTGAGTGAGTGAGTGAGTGAGTGCCGGGGTTGTGTGTGTGTGTGTCGCAGGTGTGTCACGGGGGTGTGTGTGCGTCAGGTGTGAGGTGGGTGTGTTTGTCAGGCACGAGGCTGCGGCGGCGGGTCCGGGGAAGGCGGCCCCCGGGTGCGGCTCTGCGGAGCGCGGTGGGGGCAGCAACAGGCCCGGCAGGTGATGGGGGGGGACAGTGCACCCCACAGAGCCCGGGGATCACTGGGGGTGTTGATGAACCCGGCAACTGGGAGCGCGTGGGGCAGCTCGGCCTAGTTTGCTTTAATAGCAGGTTGCACAAACTCAGCGTGTTTGGCGCACGACAAGAAAATCTCATAAAGGAGTTATGGACAAATTAATTCTCCGATTAAATTCATGTCCTGCTTTGTCTTGCAGCACTGCTTGAGTGCTGTTGTTGGGCCTGGGTGAGTGGATGCCAAAGGAACGAACAGCAAGGATCAGTATAATAAGAAATGGGACGGGAGTTATGTGCCTTATCCATGACAGAATTACTTTCCAGCAAATGTGGCTCAGTTGGCACTGCCACAAAAGAACAGGTAGTTCAGAGTGGTGAAACCTTACTATAAGATACCATATGATTTTGGGGTAGTGTCATAGTACAGCATACCCTAGATTATTTAGCTAATGGAGCACCTCGCCAGAACACTTCTTCCTATCTTTCATATGCTTCTTGCATATGGATTTGTGAAAAAATGGAGAGGTGGCAAACAAAACCTAATTAAAACAGAGGGCCACATTTCACTGTGATTAGTGATGAAGATATTTATTGCAACAGGACAGGAATGTAGTGATACTTTTTAGGGAGGAGATTCAGCCCTTTGAAATATTTTCTTCTCCTTCATCACTAGTAATGGTACAGCTCTTAAAACCTCAATTTTCCTTTCCAGAATGAGTCTTCACATCTTTATCAAGCCTGTTTGCTTCTGGCAGTGTTCTCCTGTACCAAAGTGGCTGATGTACAGTCACTTTTTGTTAGCTGATTCTCAATGTGTTAGCAGTGTTCTGTTGTTTCAGACCCAATCTTTAGAAGCTAAATAACAACAACAGCAATAATGATTTTAAAATAAAAAACCTTTTGCTAAAACCACAGCCAAGTGAAATCAGGTTGCAAATCCTAAATTCTACTGGTATTGGGAAATGGCTATGAGTAGCCATTTTGAGAGTATCTCTGTAATCAGTCTGACCATTTAATGGACAAATTGAGAGCAATGTGTACTTTTTAATGGGGTATATTTGTTTTCTTCCAGACATCTTAGAAGAAAGGCAGGATTTTATTTACAAGATGGCAATATAAACACAATCCATCTCTATGCTCTTTTCTTGAGGAAATGCTTCTCAAGTCCTTTTTCAAGTGCTCAGCCAAAGAAACTTTTGTTTTTTACAGGACACTCCCCAGTCAAGACCAGAAGACCTTACAGTGCCTGTTGGATGTCAAATGTTTCAGAATGGTATCAGTAAAAAATCCTGTGATTAGAGAGTTGGCTTTAGTTAGCAGGGACTTTGGTAGCTGTTTGGGCTGAAATTTAGTTTCACACTCTGAAGATAAAGGGGTTGCTGATCAGGTCTGTGGATATAGTCACATGGGCACAACAGGAACTGGTCATTCATTATTAGACAAAAAAAATGCAAAATGAATAGCTAGCATGTATCACTAAACCAATTATCAGCTGTTTGTATTTTTGCCAGCTTTTTGGTCTTTGTTCATACTGTTTCTCTAAACTCTTTGGCTCATGGGTGATGTTGAAGATAGAAGTAGTTTTGGTTTTAATTTTAATCCATTCTTATTTTTTTAAAATGTTCCCTTTTTTTGTTTGTTTGTTTTTGATTTTTTTTTTAAGATGTTAGTATTCCCTATTGTGTTTCTTTGTCCTTCCAGTGTGTTCTATGCAGCTTAGCTGTAGCTTTCTCAGTGTCACCTAGTAACAGTTGTTTATTCCTGCCTGAACGAAGTGTTTCATTCCTATTCTGATACCCTGCACAAGACCCGTGTACCACAGGAAGATTTCCAAATAGGGCTTAAGTGTTGTGTAAGCCTTGGTATTTGAGTTAGTCTGCTAAAGGTACATGTTTCCTTGGACATGATTCACTGTAGTTAGGTAATTTAGTTCACAGTCTTTGTACTGCTGAGATACAAAATGGCAGTTTAAAACTGCCTTTTTCCTATCAGTATTTTTCCCCCCAAATAAATCACCCTGTCTGTTTTATTTACCAAGAAGGAAAAATTTCAGTAAAGACTTGTTGGGCTGTTAACCGTATGCTGCTAATCATCTGGCTTAGTACCCCTGCTTCATAACTGCTGTATTTATAGGAGGATTGATACATGTCAGAAAAGCTGTCTGGGAATATTGCATTTCTCGGCCTTGCTTGATCTGAGGCTTTGAAGAGAACTGGGCAATGAAACGTGCATCCTGCCAGCGGTGACCGTAGCAGCCTCTGCTCTGTCTGGGTGGACAGCTGGAGCTCTGATGGTGCTTCTGGTGTGCCAGCTCTGGAGCCCTGTACAGGGGATATGCTGAGTCAAATGGTTGCAGTTTTACTTGTTCCCAGTCCAGTCTGACACTTGCACCACATCCCATGCACGCGTGTGCACACAGCAGGAGTAACAACTAGCTTTCCCTTGGGAATGTGGAATGGTTTTTTTTTTTTTTGCTTCCTCTAACTGATGAACAAGAAATGTTACTTTTTTTTCAATACAGTAAAAGAGTTACCATGTAACAGTAGAGATTTACTAGCATATTCAGAACCACATAGATTTGCTGACTCACATTTTGGGGGCAACAAATACACAATTACTGAAATGGACTCTCTTATTGTGGAGCCAGGTAGAGCATAATTAGATTTCTTAGATTTAGTTACATCTTCATTGATAACAAAGCAAAACAAAATTTTTGTCTTCTTTTAATTCAGCTACTCACAAATTATAATCCATAAGAAAGTGAGAAATGTCTGGTGAAAGTAGGACTGTAATACATTGAAAATTGATTTAAATTCCCAAAGGAATAGAGAGTAGCATTCCTACTAATGTTTTTTCTTGCTCTTAAATGAGATTTCTTGCATTTCAGCTTTCAGTTTGTGTCCATTGCCTCTCAGCCTGTCACTGGATGCCAAAAGGCTACTGCTCTTCTTTACCGTCCTCTCCCTTCCCAATTTATAAGACTCCTCCTGAGAATTACCAAGTGAAATTAATTACAAAAAGCTCTTTACTACCTTGAGGCCTCTCCTGTTCTCATACCAAAAAGTAGTAGAAGAATGGTTTCATTGCCTCTGTCTCACTCATTTTTCCTTCCAATATGTTGATCATGCTGATAAATGATGAATGATCAGAATCCAATCACATGAAGACTTTACATACTGGGTCAATATAAAGTGTATTCGTGATTCCAGTGATGTTAGTGAAATTACTTGAGCTACAATGCTTTGTTGGGTCAGAACTATGGTTGTGTGTGGCTAGGCTTGGTGTATCCACACAGTTGATGAAACACATTGGTTATTCTGAGTCTACAGGGCTCATATCATAGCCCTGCCCCAAGGTGTTCATGAGTATGAAGAATTTGTGAGAAACATTGTGCTGGAGAGGTATGGGAACCTTATTCCAGCAGCGGACCACTATAGCAAATAACAAAGCAGGCAGAAAGTGTATTTATTATTTGCTTTGTTGACTGTTGAAATGCATAGTGTTTGTGCTTGGAGTTTGTTCCAGCTGTATTTCAGATGTTGATAAGCTTGAGTTTGGAACAGACTTAGACATCATTTTCAATTGGTATTGAGGGAGAGAACCATGACTGTTCCCAGCAAAGTGCCCTGAAAGCTTCAGTGGGTAAATGTCTTTTCTTTGATCCTCACATACTGATCACTAGCTTTCTTTTTAAAGTTTAAAGCTTAAATTTTTGGAAGGCTGAGACTTTCTGAAATAATTTTGTGTGTTTGGTATTTAAAATGAAACCATCATCAAACAAAAAGAAAATGATGACAAGTGATTTGCTCAGGTATTCCATAGTCTTTGATGAGACCACTAAGCAGCCAGATTTCATTGGTTTACACCCCATCACAGAGCTTATTGCTGTTTCTTATATAATTTGTTTTTATTGGGAGTTTATAGTACTGTTGCTCCTTAGCAAAATTCTCAATCTCAATTATGTGAACAACAGGTGCAACTGTGTATTGTTTGAATAAATTTGGTATTTTTCAAAGGCCTTTTTTTTTTTTTACAGCCCAAACATTCACTAAGATACATAACTGAAGGATGATCACCACCATGATTCCACGGCATCCCGGGGCTCCAAGTGTCTCGGGTCCTGGGTGTTCAAATCTCTTGTGTCCCGTGTACGTCCTAAGTGTCTTGGTGCTTCAATGGTGGATGATTGGACGATCACACGGGGCTTGTCTCAACAGCAGTTCT